TCCCCGTGACGTATTCGATATGCCAAACACAGTAACAACAAGTCTCACGATGGAGATGGTACTGGGCCTGCTCGAGCAAATCGATGAGCAACGGGAGGACAGTATGACAGTGTGACTATATTTATGGGCTGGAGCGATAGCACAGTGGGCAGGGCATTTGCCTTTCATGCGACCAACCCAGGTTCGATTCCTCCAACCCTCTCGAAGAGCCCAGCAAGCTACCGAGACTATTCCACCCGCATAGCAAAGCCTGGCAACTTCAGCAAGCTCCCTGCGACGTATTAGATATGCCAAAAACAGTAACAAGTCCTACAATGGAAACGTTACTGGTGCCCGCTCAAGCAAATCAATGAACAGCGGGAGGACAGTGCTGCAGTACTACTATGATTTATAATACTGTGAATGATCCTTTCACACATGCATTGCCCCCTCACCTACCACCAGAGTTCCCTCCTGCTTCCCTCTTCCAAGGCCCCAAGGACTGACCCCCCCCACCATAAGCTCAGTCCTGGGCACCAGTTCTTCAGTTCTCTTGCCTTCATCCACTTGCTACTCCCTGACTTTCTTTCCTTCTATCCTTTCTTTCAATTCATAAAAACCTTTTTGAAGGATATTATTTTTTGTTTCATTTCCAAGCGTTTGGGTTTTTCCCCTGGAAGATTCATTTTAAAGTCCCTCTGTGAAACCCAATCATGAAAGTCTGTAAGTCTACAACTGTACCTCATGGTGTTTCACTAATAAACATTTTTTTAAAAAAGCAAGCATAGATGTGAGTCTACTGATAGCTTCAAGAAGCTGCAGCAACAGAATGACACCAAGAAAGGATATAAGAAATATTCTAAAAACAAGAATTCTAGACATTAATATCTAAAACCACTAATTCAGGGACTTCGGTCATACTTAGGCCAGTCTTATAATGATAATGATGTTTAATAATCACTCTGATATATATCAAGAAAAGACTAATTTGTGTTGTGAATCACTGAGGAAGACAAAGAAATATGTTTCGTGTTACCAAAAAAATCTTGATTTTCAAGTAATTGATTAAAATTAGTTGCCATTACTGGGGGGAAAAAAAACATAAAATAAAACCCCTCTGCCTTTAAACATCCACGTTTCTCTTATAAGACTCAACCCGGTAGAAGCCGTCTGCCAGCTAGATGAGAAGGAACATTGCCAGGGCTTCTGTACCAGCTGCCGCCCCCACCACCCTCCTTCAGGCAGCCACTGTCCCAAAGCCTGCTGAAGTCATCCGCGTTGGTGATGTGTCACCAACACGTGGCCAGGCCTGCCCTGGTCCTCAGCAGGGTCCCCTTTCCTCAGTCTCTCCAGATAAATTCAAGACGAGCAGTGGTGACGGGACTGGGGACACAGCCTGGTCCTGGAGTTCTGTCCCCAGGTCGATTCAGCTGATGAGCTATGACCCACGGCTCCTCTGAACAGAGTGTGCTTGCCAGGGAGCAGAGAAGAGCGTCACCACTGTAACTCCTCACTCCACCTCAGCAGCCAGGCCCGCCTGGAGCTCCCACACCCTCAGCTTTGGGCGAACACCCTGATGGAAAAAGGACAGTATCGCTGTCACTGTATCACTGCCATCCTGTTGTTCATCAATTTACTTGAGTGGGTACCAGTAACGTCTCCATTCGTCCCAGCCCTAAGATTTTAGCAGCCTCTCCTTTACTCATCTTTCCCAACGCTGCTGTATTGGGGGCTCTTTCGGGGTCAGGGGAATGAGACCCGTTATTGCTACTGTTCTCGATGTGCCAAAAGCAGTAGAAAAAGGACAGTAGAAATTATAATTGACAGCGGGCACCTAGAGGTGACCTTTAGAACTAACTGCGTCGGTTAAGCGTCTGAGCAACTGAGTACCCAGAATGGAGAATCTTTTTAAAGTGTTGGTTTATTATCAGTTTCCCATGCCCTATCAGCTTCAGGTCTCAGTAAATAGGTATTCCATAGTCCCACCACAGTCGTGCCTTTTACCAGGACCCAGTTAGCCCTCACCCACTCTCAGGGTTCCCCTTCCTTCCTCCTCTGCTGGTCACTGTCCTCCACCTTCCACTGAGTCGCTTAGATGGTGTTTTGTTTGTTTCCTTCCTTTCTATTCCATATCTGAGACCATAAGCTATTATTTGGAATAGATTTTTGTCCCCTTTATTGGCATAATAGCCTCAGGTTCCATCTATGTTGTTGCAAAAGGGAAGATTTTACTTTTGTAATAGCTGTGGATTCCACTAAGTATGTCAATCACATTTTTATCCACTTATCTGTCAAGGGGCATCAAATTGTTTCTTGTGCCCATTAACTTATAGTGTGGGGAGGGGGATGGACACACATGCACACATACACTGTACATGCGTATTCTTGCTTAAGGATAAGGAGACGATTTACAGTAAAGATATTTTGGTTCACAGAAGAGTCAACTTAACTATCTTTCCTTCAGGCTTCCTGCTGCCTCTCTGGGTTCTGGAGGCCTGGCCAGACCCAGCCAGCCCATAACAAGCACAGCACTGAGGTGACTGGGAACCCCAAGAGGAGAGGGATGCTGGGACATTGAAACCCTTGAGCCAAGATTGTAGATGTGTACATTCTCGTTGAATAGGAAAGCATGTTCAATGCCTCGGAGGGTTTTTCAACGAGAAGACACTCTTCCATCCCCTTTCCCATAGTAATTCCTGTCGCTGGACAGTGTTACTTTTCTGTGAAGGTTATCTCCGTGGTGCCAGGCTCTGGGGGGTATAACCTATGAGAGAGACTAGTGAAAATCCTCCAATGCACTGACAGGCAACCATGGCAAGTGTGAGCATCTGTGTTGACAATACAGGAGAGAAAAGATCTCTCTCTTCCCCTAAGTCTCCCATCACTGATGTCCTCACTCAGTGCTTCATGGACATCCGTCATGTGTCAGGAACTCACAATTCCTGTAGGTCCTTGTCCTCATTGACAGGTGAAGAAATAGGGTCTCAAGAGCTTACAGAACTTGCCAGGGTCCCCTCAGGTAGGGTCAGCACCAGCCCAGCCGTCATCAAGCTGAGAACCAAGCTTCTGCTCTTTCGCTTTGCCTCCCGGCCTGTGGGGGATGATTCCAGAGAGTCTTGGCAAAAGTCTGATGATGTTTTTCTCAGATCCCACACGTGTCCAGTAGAATTCGTGGTTTCAAAAAAAATGACCCATGAGACAGGAGGATGTCCAGTTGGACTCTTGTCTCTGGCATCCCTGAAATGAATGTTACTGTCCAGCTGGGCAGAGGCAGTGTTGGTTCAAGTGCTGGACTAGATTAATTCATCAAACTGAGAGTCTGATGGATTCATTTAAAAAAAAAAGAAGAAGAAGAAGAAGCTGTTTAACTTGTTTAACTCTGATTCCTAAGACAGACCTTCCTGCCTCTCCGGTGTCTTATTCTTGTAAATGAGCATTTGAAAGGTCACCAGTGGCAAGTTCCAGGGTTGTGGAGATCATGAATCTGCTCACACTGGTAAGACAGAAAAAGTCAAATTGAAAGGTTCACAGTTAGGTGAGTGGGTCCTGGTGCCTAAAGGAAGATTTCAATTGACAGCATCACAACAGAACGAAAAGGTCAGCCTCACCGAGAGCTAAAAAAGCAGGTGGAGAGCTTTGGAGAGCGAGGAACGTGTTTTTACCGATTTAATGAGAGTTGATTGGCATGTCCAAAGTGCCTATTTAATCTAAACAACCTCATGAGTTTGGACATAAATACCTGCCTGTAAAACCACCACTAGAACCTGTGCCATAAACATCACCTCTCTCTGTTCACAGCGTGTGTGGTTGCCCTCTGTGGATTCTCAAGCCTTTGTGCCGTCTGTTTAACTACAGGCCTCTGCCAGCTGACTCATCTACTGTCAGGCAGCTTTGTACCCTTGGACTAAACGTTCCCCAGCCCCCTCCCCTCCGTTCTTGGAAACCCCCATTCCATCCCGTGTTTCTACGAGTTCGACTTTCGCAGGTCCCGCCAAGAAGGGGGACCAGGTGGCGTGTGTCATTCTGTCTGATTTATCTCTGCGTCGTGTCCTCCAGCCTCGTGGCCACCAGGATTTCCTTCTCTCTGTCCTCGTAACCACCAGCCCTGGTCTCCCTTGCTTCCCTTCACCGTCCACCCTCGATGGACAGTCAGTCGCTTCTGTGTCTTGGCTGTTGTGAATGATACAGCAGTGAGTGTGGGGGTGCGGGTATCGCTCTAAGAAGCTGATCTCAGTTCCTTGGGCTGGGGCGACTGTCCCCAGGAGGACTTGACTGGCCGATTATCTGAGGAGTCTCCATGCTTCACCCTGGTTCCTGTCTTTCACCCTCCCACCAACTGTGTGGGAAGGTTCCAACTTCTCCAGCCCCTCGGTTCTTGTACTCCTTTAAGTAGCAGCCACTCTCCCCGCTGGAGCGAATGTCTCTCTGAGTTTTGACAGCGGCAAATCAGATGCCAGGAGGTGCCCAGGCTGGCCCCAGAGGAGGGTGAGGAGGTGGGTGTGGACACAGTGGGTACCGGGGTTCTGGGAGCATCTTCCCAAGCCCTGGGGTGGGGCATCCCTGCTCCATCTCTTCGCCTGGGCCATGAGCCTTCCCAGGCTCTGGCCATGCTGCCGCCACCCTCGTTTCCTACCCACTAGAGATGCCAAAAGTCCGTGTCTTGAGCTCCCTGGTTCTCCCTGCCTCGCATCAGAAGCAAAATGACCAACACGGGGCCAGAGACCCAGTCCAGGGTCTACGGTGCTCGTCTCATACATGGCCAGCCTGACTTCATCCCAGCACCCCTCAGGGTGCCCCAGCAATGTATCGGCTGCTGCCTTTGGAGCGGGTGGGGGTCAGTCCGGTCCCCGGTGCCCGCTGTGCCTACCGGGAGCTCTGAATGGGAACCGGGGGTGTCCCCCAGCCTGCGCCCTGGGGAACCTGCACAGCACCTGGCGGGGCTGTCATCTGCACCTTGGTGCTGGCCGGAGCAATGGGCAGCCAACAGTGGCAGGGCCAGTTCTACTGGACTTCTGTTCCAGGTGCGAAGCCCGCCCCTGGGCTCTGCTTCGAGAGAGTCAACTCCGCCGGGGACCCCTACGGCAACTGCGGCAAAGACTCCAAGAGCTCATTCGCCAAGTGTGAGGCCAGGTAGGGCCCTCGCATCCCTGCCGCCCCACCCCTCCCCCACAGAGCCCCCCTGACCCCCACGAGGGCTATGCTCCAACCCCTTGGGGGTCTCTGTGTTCTTAACCTTTCAGAGATGCTAAATGTGGAAAAATCCAGTGTCAAGGCGGCGCCAGCCGGCCCGTCATTGGTACCAACGCCGTCTCCATAGAAACGAACATCCCCCTGCAGGAGGGGGGCAGGATCCTGTGCCGGGGGACCCACGTGTACCTGGGCGACGACATGCCGGACCCCGGCCTCGTGCTTGCCGGCACCAAGTGTGCAGATGGAAAAGTAAGACTCGGACGTGCCCGGGGCCCCCGGGAAATCTGAAAGGGGTTGGGGGAGAGGGTCCTCCCCAAGAAGCAGCCCCGAGTTTTGTGATCCTGAATCCGCTTCTCACAACTTCATCCCCGAATCCAATTCGTGGCGCCTAGAAGAAAAAGCCAGAATATTCTTTGATTCTGTTCTGGTCACTGAAATATTAAATCGGTCTTCTGAATTTGGGGCGTGGGGCATTTCTGAACTGGGCCAGGGCTGGCGGGGTCCATGAGGATCACAGGCCGGGAGATGCCGGTGGGTGGAAATACAGTAGCTGGAGAAGTCATTCCCGACACGTGGATCGGGTTTGTGGGGTGGGTGCTGTGTCCTCTGAGCACAGCAAGTCAGAGCCCAGGGCTGGGGTTACGGAACTGCAGGCCGGAAGCAGAGCCTGCCGGGACCAGGGCAGAAGCGAACTCGGACCTTTGAGGCTCAGAAATCAAGTCAGAGATGAAAAAAGCCGTTGAAATGTTTAAATCCTGCCCCATTGATTTTTCTCACCAGCCTTTCAGAATAGCAAGTTAATCAACTGTCTTTAGAAAGAGGCCAGATAAGCCCCCACGTGCTTTCCTTAAGACCATCTTTCAAACTGGCTATCAGGCTGCTCAGATAAACTCATCTGGGGGTCACAGAGCAGAAAGCCGGGTTCAGATCCGGCTCCTTTGCAGGGTCCCGGGCCAGAATCCCCACCCTACCACACACACACACACACACACACACACACACACACAACACCACTTACAAGGGCATGCCTCTGCTTGCCGGCCACAAAGCAGCCCTCTGCTTCCGTTCCCTGGGTCCCTCTGCCAAGGGTGTATATCGTCACTGATAACTCTTGTTCGTCAGGTGGGAACGGTTCCCAGATTTACTGTCTCCCTAAAAGAGTCTCGGACCCAGCAGGTGCCAATAGGGAAGGTGCTGACCTTGAGTACGTCTGAGCTGAGTTTGATCCCCAGCCCAACCCCCGAGCACAGATCCAGGAGTCAGGCCTGAGCCTGAGTGACCCACAACACAAAAGAATCCTGGGAGTCTGGTCTCTCGGGGTTCCTGAATCTGCATGTTTCACCCTTGGTCTTTTACTTAAAATATATAAACATCAATAGTCCGCACACGTACACGTCATGGAAAGTCTTATACGAAAAGCACAAGAAAATCAGCTCTTATGCACTGAGCATCCACGGAAACACGAGACATAGAGGATTCAGCAGTGTCCACCGGAGCTGAGTGTGAACGGGCGCCCAGGAGATCGTGTCCAGCCCCGTGAAAGGACCTTCCTGCTGCTGCCTCCGAGTTCACTGGCCGGGAACGGTCGCCCCCCAAAGTTTCTCTGACTTGTTCTCTGCAAAGACGGACAGAGGCGAGTTGGCAGAGCGCCGAGCTGCTGCTTCTCTCCCCTCCAGATCTGCCTCAGCCGCCGGTGTCAGAACGTGACGGTGTTCGGCGTCCACACGTGTGCCCAGCAGTGCCACGGCAGAGGGGTAAGGCGGCCACCCAGCATCACGCCAGGGTCTGGTGCCCACGGCCATCCGCTTCTCAGGGTCTCCTCCAGCTCGGCTCCTTTGACCTTTGCCGCAAAGTGATTTTCATTTCGCAAAGAAAATCAGATGGAGCCACAATTATCTTTGAAATTAACATTATGTGGGTTGGGTGGGGGGGGGGCGGGGGAGGACTTTGTCCTTCTCGAAGTAATTCTGAAAGGGCCCTTCCTTCCAGATCCCTCATTAACATTTCCATCAGAGCTGACTTCCGAGCAGACTGAGTGTTTGTCTGAGGAAATTCTTCCCAGGGGAGGGAAAACCGGGAGGAGGAAGCCACTGGCCTGGGGTCTCCACCGCGCCGTGCCACGCGTGCCCAGAGCCTGGACCGCGGGCGCATGGGGTCGGTTCAGAGATGCTTGGGGATTTAGACTCTGAATTGTTTAAAACATCATCTCTTCTTCCTGACGGACTTAATTCTTTCCAGGGGAATCAGATTCTCATCTTGATGAGTCAAGCCTGAGGCTCATCGGTTTTTTTCAGGAACCTTCTCTGAAAGTGGCAAACTCTGGATTCTGTTTTTAAAACGTGCGGGCGCGCACCTTAGTCTAGTGTGGACTTAGCGGGTCCATAGGCCGTCGGGGTGTTAACTCATCAGGGCTGCCCTGTCTGGGACTCAGACTTTGGGGGGCTCTGCAGGGGAGAGAGGATCCCACCTTCATTAGTGGGGGGCTGCTCCTGGCTCTGCACTCGGGGGGCCACTTGGGGGACCCTCTGGGGCGTGGGTCTTGCCACATGCAGTATTCTGCCTCTGGTCCATCTCCCCCGGCCCCTGTGCATCCCCTCACTGGCCAGCCGCAGAGGCCCTGGGTCGTGGGGTGGTGAGGTCACAGCAATGCTGGAGCCGGGTGGGGGTCCCCGACTCTCCCACAGTCCGGGGGGGTCCCAGCCAGGAGGGAGAGGAAAGCCCATGGCTTCTGGGAAGGCGGGACCCTCAGTGTCCCGGGGCCACTTCCCTGGCCGCAGGCCTTCCCAGCAGAGCCAGGGCGCATCTGAACAGGGCCAGGCTGTGGCTCCCTCTGGGGGGGCCCTGGCAGGGGTAAGGGGTGCACAGAGCAGGGAGCAGGCAGAGCTGGGGAGGGGCCCCCACAGCCCCAGGCCCAAGGACACTCCCTAAGGGCCCTTGGCCTGGGGGTCCCGGCCCCTCACCCCCATGCCCCCCCACACACACACACAGGTGTGCAACAACCGGAAGAACTGCCACTGCGAGCCGCGCTGGGCACCCCCCTTCTGCGACCGGCTGGGCTTCGGGGGGAGCACCGACAGCGGCCCCATCCGGCAGGCAGGTGAGGGTCTCTCTGCGGGCACAGAGACGCGGACAGAGGCCGCGGCCCACGGGCAGGGTGGGTAAAGGCGTCTCTGTCCTTACGCTGGGGGCCTGGGCAGCCCCAAGACACGGCTGCTTCCAGAATCCCACCTGCGGGGGTCCCGAGGGCTCTCTCCCTCCCCTCCCCTACCATGGGGGTCCCGGGGGCTCTCCCTCCCCTCCCGCACCTGCTGAGTGCAAAGCCCACAGGCTCCCGGCTGCTCTCAGGGTCCACCCTGGCCCCTGCTACGGTCACTTGTCCACACTCATGGGGGTGTGGGGGGGGAGGCCACATTCCAGGGCTGCCAGGCAGGTCGGCTGCCTGGACCTCTGAAGTGGACAATGCTGGGGTGCCCACCTCAACCCTGCTGCTCCTTCCGGCCCCCCGGGCGGCCGGCACCCCACTTCCCGCCCACACACACGCCCTGAGTCCCGGCTTGGCTGTCGCAGGGCAGCCAGGGACGACCGTGGGAATCCTGGCCAGCGTCCTGAGCGTCCTGGCCGCGGCGTTCGTTCTGTACCTCAAGAGGGACACGCTGGTCCGGCTGCTGTTCACCAACAAGGAGACCACCATCGAGAAACTCAGGTGCCCTCCCCGCGTCTCCCAGGAAGTGGTGATGGGCAGAGGGGGCCGTCCTCAGCGCCTGCCCACCTCCGAGTCTGGGCTGTGTGAGGCCCCTGCGGGCACTGCCCTGGGGAACGGGGGCCCCGGCTCCAGACTCGGGAGACTGGGGAGACCAACCCTCACCTTGCATCAGGGGTGACCGCGGCGCCGAGACGCCCACCTGGGGCTGGTGTCTGTGGATGGCCGGAATTGATGGGCCTGAAAAAGGGTTTGGCCAGGCAGGGGTGGGAGATCGTTATTTCTTTTCCTTTTATTGTTTTTTTTGGGGGGTCATACCCAGTAGTGCTCAGGATGTGCTCCTGACTCTGTGCTCAGAGACCACTCTTGGCCCTGCTTCGGGGGAACCCTGGGTGGGGCCGGGGTCCAACCTGGGGCAGCGCCCCCCTGCTGCACTATCTCCCTCGGGACTCCACGCTTGGCTGTCAGCCCTGCAGAGTGTGGGGTTGGCCTCAGGGCTGCATTTGGCTGCGTGCTCAGGGCAGCTGGGCGGTGCCAACAGCCAACCTAAAGTGAGGTGACTTCTAGGTGTGTGCGGCCCCCGAGGCCGGCCAGCGGCCCCCAGTCTGGCTGGGCCCAGCTCCCCGCCCTGGGCCAGAGACCCCTGAGGAAGCCGCCTCTGACCAATGCACTGCAGGTGAGTGTGCAAACAGCCAGGATAGGCCACAGGCCCGCAAGGTTACAGCCACCAGCCCTGGGGACGCCTCGTAGTCCTCAAGTGGCATGTAGGACCTGCAGGCTCGGGGCCTCGGGGACCCCAGAGGAGGGGTCGGAAGCTGCAGGGTCTCCCCAGGCTGGGGCCCAGGGGTCTTGTGGGAGCCTGCGGGGGCAGCAGTGCCCACTACGTGCATGGGATGAGCGTGTCCAGCCGGCCCTGAGGTACCTCCAGCTCGCCAGGCCAGCCCAGGGGGTCTGTGAGGGCACCTGCCCTGACTCCCGGCCACCACTGGCCTCACCTGAAGCTGGGGTGGGGGCGGGCTGCTCGCCCCCCCCCTTCCTCAGGGGAGGCCCACAGTCAGGGCCTGGCAGTGCCAGCCTGCCCCTAGTGCTCCCCCCTGCGCTCCCCCCGCGGGTTATGTTCCCTGGGCCAGTGCGCTTCCCAGCCTGGGTTCCGGCAGGGTCTGGGAATTCTCCCACGCCCAACACTTGGAGCGCGTGTGCGGGTGGGCACTGGACAGTGCCAGGGATTGGGTTGGTGGGACTGCCACGGCCCACAGCCCTGCCTCCAGCCCTGCAGCCCACAGACCTGCACCCCACAGCCCTGCCTCCAGCCAGGCTCCGCTTTCCAGATCCTTCCCAACTCCCCCGGTTTGGTTCCGACTCAAGCCTTCAGACTTGGGATGCTTCCTCCAGGCTGCCCCCTCTGCATTAACCCATGGGTGGGGGAAGTGGTCCGGGAACAGGCCCACCCTCCCTTCAGGGAGAACGCCTTCCGTGGGAATTTCCATGTGGGGCGCCCTCCACGCAGTCCTGGGGGCTACCAAGGCTCTTCCTGGTGGTCGCCGGGATCCAGTCCAGGGCCACACGCGCAGCCCTCGGGCCGCTCCTGCTCCCTGCTGTTGGGACTCTGAGTTTTCACCCGCCCCCACTTCCTGGCTGTGCTGTGGAATCAGAGGGTGATTGGGGGCTCGGAGGTGGGGGTTGGGGGGGGTAACATGTACATGGCGCCTTTGGCTCTGATCCGCAGGACGGTCCCAGGAGAGTGCTGTCCTTTTCGAACGTGGACATCAGCGGGCCCCTCAAAGCCCCCGCCAGCCCTCAGCCCAGCCCGCCTCCTCCGCCAGGGTTCCCGCCCCGCCTGCAGGCAGTGGGAGCACCCAGCGCCCCTGCGAGGCCCCTGCCCATCAGCCCGGCGCTCAGGCAGGCTCAGGTATGCCCTCTGCTTTCGGGGGAGGCGTCTCCCCTCCCCTCCCCTCCCTTCCCTTCCCCTCCCCTCCCCTCCCCTCCCCTCCCCTCCCCTCCCCTCCCCTCCCCTCCCCTCTCCTCTCCTCTCCTCTCCTCTCCTCTCCTCTGGCACACTGCCCCAGCCTCTCCACAGTGGCCAGCATTGGCTCCTCAGGGGGTCAGTGAACCCGTCCTCCCCCGCCAAGAGTGGAGCTGGGCATGGAGGAGCCGTGGCATGGCCTTTGGCCTATCAGGAGCGGCTTGTTCAGAGATGAGCCCAGGCAGGGTGCGGGGGTGGCTGCTGGGGGGTGGCACTGGGCGGCTCACAGCATGTGCCGGACCCCGGCTCCCACCACCGAGGCTGCTCGGGGCCTTGCGGTGGACCCGGCTGGACCCGAAGGGCCAATCCTGTCCACGAGGCGTGTTTTCTTCCTAGTGGGCAGGAAACCGGCAGCTTCAGAAACTGGCGGCCGCTCCTCCTTGAGGAAGACGCTGGTGGGTTCTACCGGCCCAACTGCCCCGTCTCCCAGACTCCGTCTCAGCCTCTCGTTTCAGGCTGTTTTGGAAAGTACCTATTTCTTTCTCTCTTTTCTTTTTGGTTCTTTTATTTATCTGTTTTATTGCCATGCAAGGAATAGAACTCACGATAAAACTCAGGGACACACGTGCGCACGGGTCAAGTACGCTTGCTGTGTGACATCCCTAGTCTGGTTTCTCTTTTGTTAAGAGATTTTCTGTTACTTTATTCCTTTTTCTGGTTTGTTTTGTTATGGGGCGAACCTTGTGTACTAATTTATTTGGGCTGGAGTGATAGCACAGCGGTAGGGCGTTTGCCTTACAAGCGGCCAACATGGCCGACCCGAGTTCGATTCCTCCGCCCCTCTCGGAGAGCCCGGCAAGCTACCGAGAGTATTCGATATGCCAGACACAGTAACAACAAAGTCTGCAATGGAGACGTTACTGGGCCCGCTCGAGCAAATCAACGATCAACGGGAGGGCCTTTTTTTTTTATTAGTGAAACACCATGAGGTACAATCATAGACTTACAAATCTTTGTGCTTGGGTTTCAGTTATACAATGATCAAATACCCATCCCTCCACCAGTGCCCAGTTTCCACCACCACGGGTCCCAGTATCCCTCCCACCCCCCATCCGCCCCTTCCCACCCTGCCTCTGTGGCAGGGCATTCCCTTTTGTTCTCTCTCTCCTATTCGGTGTTGTGGTTTGCAAGAGAGGCATTGAGTGGCAATCATGTTCGGTCTATAGTCTACTTTCAGCATGCATCTCCCATCCTAGGAAAATCCTCCCAACACCCTTTATTTGGTGCTCCCTTCTCTATCTGAGCTGCCTTTTCCCCTAGCACTATTTATTTGTTTTGGATGGAGATCAGTCACCTTCTACTTTCCACCCCATCAAATGTGATGTGCTACGCTTGGTACATGAGTGGAGTAGAGTGTGAAGTCCCACGCACTCCAGGAATTCTCTAGCACTGTCACACTCTCCTCCCGTTGCTCATCGATTTGCTCGAGCGGGCCCAGTAACGTCTCCATCGTGAGACTTTGTTGTTACCGTGTCTGGCATATTGAATACGTCACGGGTAGCTTGCCAGGTTTTGCCGTGCGGGTGAGATACTCTTGGTAGCTTGCCGGGCTCTCCGAGAGGGGCGGAGGAATTCAACCCGGATTGGCCTGGCTGGCCGCGTGCAAGGCAAACGCCCTACCGCTGTGCTATCGCTCCAACCAGGAACTCTAAACTTTCCAATAGGGGGCTACATCTGGAATTAAATTTTTAGCTGGATGGCGACTTTGGGGTCTGGAGGCACTTCTGTAGCTTGTTGCTCTCTTCTGAGATTTATTTGTGAGTCTCTGGCTTGTGGCCGTTAGTGAACTTATATGTGTCAGAGGTGCTCGTGGGCGTGGATGCCAGGTACCTGAAAGAACTGGGAGATGGGGGAGGTTGCCCATCCCCAACTCTGAGAGACCCTGGAGATTTCAGTCAGAAAAAAGTGCCTATTTCTGTTTGGCAGGACAATGTGTGTGGCGTCATGTCATTTCCCACCAATAAATATGAAAATTAACAAAGGCAGGCCAGGGACTACCAGGTTTTCCAGGCTCAGGCAACGGGGCACGTGCCTTGTAGGTTGAAGCCCGGGTTTAGTCTCTAAACCACATACCCTGAACCCACCCTGACGCCCCCACACACACATCCCACTGTGACCCCTACCACAACAAACAAGTTTGCAGCTGAAAGCACAATGATCATTTCTGAGCATTTTCTCACTCTCGTTGTTGTTCTGGAAAGATTTTCATATTTATGTTTATTTTCACATCATTTTGATGATTCTCCCTGTCCCTTGCTGTTGTGATGGAGCTTGGGGGCTGCTTCCAGCACCCTCAGGGAACCATGTGGTGCCGAGATTGAACCCGGGCCTTGTCTAGCACGCACAGCTGTGTTCCAGCCCCTGGAGCCATCCCCAGCCCCTGTAATCAATTTATCTACTGCTTTTTTGTCTTACATCCTTAATTTTTAAATCCTTCCCATTTACCATGCATTTTTTTAAAAATTTAAAATTATATTTCGGGACAGAGAAATAGTGCCGTCTTTGTTTGTTTGGGGAGCACCCCTGGCAGTGCTCAGGGATCACTCCCAGTGGGATTCTGGGGGCCACATGGGGTGTTGGGGATGAACACCCCAGGGCAAGCACCCCACCCGCTGGGCTCTCTCTGGTCCAGAGTCTCGGGGCCTCCCAAGCCCATCGCGTCTCACCTAGGCACCGCTGTGAAGTGCGGCTAGGCCAGCCTGCAGCACGGAGGTCTTGGGCCCAAGCACCAGCCCACCTATCTAATGGCTGGTTTTTGCCATGAGTAGCCCCCCAGCTCTGGGCACTGATGTGAGCTAGCACCCCCCACCCAGAGAAAAGATTATTTTTTTATTTTAATTTTTATTAGCGAGACACCATGAGGTACAGTTGCAGGCTTACAAATTTTTGTGCTTGGGTTTCAGTCATACAGTGATCAAGTCCCCATCCCTCCACCAGTGCCCATTTCCCACCACCACGGATCCCAGTATCCCTCCCACCCCCCATCCCCCATCCCACCCTGCCTCTGTGGCAAGGCATTCCCTTTTGTTCTCTCTCTCCTTTTGGGTGCTTGGTTTGCAAAAGAGGCATTGGGTGGCAATCATGTTCTGTCTATAGTCTACTTTCAGCATGCTGAAAAGATATTTTAACAACAGAACTAAATGTAAGAGAGAATGATTTTTAAACCCTTGCCAATTAGTGAGTCTGCTTAGAGGTCTCGAATTTGGGTTACTCTAACTGTTCTTCATAAATGTATTATTTATAGCACACACATGCATAATAGCCACAATTAAAGACATCTCAATAGCTCCGACATCTAAACATGCCCAGAGAGAGATACATGTTAGAGTATTTTCATTCTTTCCCCGAGGAGAAATCCCTAAAAGTGAAAACATTGGTTTGAGAAGTGGCATAGCCACGTTCAGCCTCCTGATCTCGAAATTAAATCTTCCTCCAGGACCACAATATACATTTATTTCCGCCCCCTCCCCCATAATATTTGAATGTCCGTCTCACCCGGGCCTCCTCCAAGCTGAGCGCCAACATGTCAGAGCCCTGCCAACTGGAGATGCAGGTCAGGTTCACGTCCATCTGTCCAGAGGTTCCGAGGGCTTCTGAGCAGATGCCGAGAGGCTGGGCGTGTCCTACCAGGCTCTGGGCTTCTCTGCAGTGACCACCCATGTGCCGTGTGTCTGTGATGCACTCATCGCCGGGCTGTCTTGTGGGTGACCCTCGGGCTTCCTGGGATCCTTCTCTCTGGTTCTGGAGGATTCACTTTATGCCCCGGTCTCTCTCGTCTTGTCTTAAATCCCAGCGTTCTTTTCAGGAAGCTCTTTCTCTTCCCTTTCTCATATTTGAAGCTTCAGCAACCCCCGAAACCCGAAACCAGCCCCTCCGTCTCACCTGAAACGAGTCTGCCAGCGAGTCTAGCTGGGCCAGAGACCACCCATGCCTCCTCTCAGTCCCCATCTCTTGTAATAAATGTGTTTGGGCCCCTGGTGTTGAATGCAGTCGGCGGTGTGCAGGGACTCGGGTGACCATCCCCGTGTTGGTTTGGCTGTGGTTCTCCGTGATTGGATTCCCACGGTGGGTCCTTTGGCTCCATCTCCACGTGGATGGGGTGTAGCGTCTCTGTCTCTGTCGCCCATGCATTGCCCTCAGGCTGTGATTCTCACCCACTCGTTACCAGCCTTTGGAGTGGGGTCCATTTCATTGTTGGGGTCTGTCCTGTGCACCCCCCACGAAGGGTTCGCCTCCTCTGTTCTCCCGCCCACTAGAGGACAGTTTCCAAGTACAGCCGGACCTCTCCTGAGGCGCCGTCACCCCCGGCCACCCGGAGGTGAGACTTCAGAGCTGCTGGGGTGCTAGTATGGGTCACAGCCTGAGTGGCAGGGGCCTGACTGCCTCTTAGAGGCCTTTGCCGTTCTCCACTTAGACTGGGAGGTCTCCACCAGCACCGCCATGAACGAACAGGAGGACTAAGCGCCAGAGCAGGCATGATGATGGCTCCCAACCCCAAGCAAGACATTTGCCGACAGGAGTCTGCAGGACTGATTCCTGGCGTTGCCTGGTGCTTGGTCGTGAGCTGGAGCCTTCCTGTCCTCACTTCCTGTCTGAAAGTCCCTTTCCTTCCCTTCAACGTGGAAAATTCACTTTGTTGGTGTCTCTAGAGGACACCTTCACTGGGTTGACTGTTTTTCTTCTTTGGGCCTTTTCAGAGTCTCCTTCTGCTCCCTTTCATTCTCTGGATGGTAAGAAACCCACTGGGAAGTTCTGGCCCTGGTGTTTTGCTCCAGAAAGAGGTGTGGGACCTCATTGTCAGGTCAGGCAAACAGAACACCTATGGGACTCTGCTCTTTGCATGCAGGTACCCCTTGTGGACAGAGGGGGACCCTGGGGGCTGGGAAACATGTCTGCCTTGCATGAAGTCAGCCTGGGTCCAGTCTCCGCATCCCTTATGGTCCCCGGAGGCTGTCTGCAGTGATCCCTGAGCAGAGCCAGGAGTAAGTCCCGAGCACCCCCAAAAAAGGAGGGGACCCTGTCTTCTTACTGGGGGGTCAGCTCAGGTGTGGCCAGCAATGTCTCTTGCACGAGTCTCCCTTGTCCAGGGCACCTGACCACGGGTAGCCAGCTTGCCTGGCCTGAGTTGGGTTGGTTCCTTTGCTTTGTAAGTTGTTGTTACTTTTTGATTTTGCTGTTATCATTTCTTTGTTGTTAACCTCCGAGGCTGGGTCCTCTCCAGAGGGCAGGCTCAGAGATACCAGGCCCAGAATCTGCTGCAGGGGGGCGGTCTCAGGAACTCCGAGCACTCCCCACCCGCCGCCTCCCCCAGCCTCGGACTCTGGCCACCGCTTGGGAGTTTCCCCCAGGCTCTCTGAGTTCGTCTGAAAGTGGGATGTGCTTACCCAACAGGGGAAACCTCGTTTCCTCGTTTGTTTCTCTGCTGAAAGGTGCACGCGAGTGTATGTTGTGATTCTGTTGACCAGGGGTCGGTGGGAGAGCCATCCAAAGGGAGCAAAGCAAAACCCAAGAAAGTTCGGGAATACGACGTTGGCTTCGAGAGTCCAGATGCTGTGCGTTCTCCTCACTCCCTGCTGCCTGGCTTTCTCTCTTGGAGAGACGTTTTCTTCCTGAATGGCAAGGACCTTGTTTTCTTAATAGAGGAAGAATGCTTCCCCGTTTCCAGTAATGTATTTGGAACACTTTGCCTAATTTTTTTTTCCTTTGAATTTCCCTTGATTGGTATAAGAATAATTCCAGTTTTGCTAAACGTCTTGATCTGCTGTGACTTCTCCGCCGTGTTCCTTTCATGTGGCCAAGGCCTGGCCCCCGTCCGTGGCGGCTGAGGTGCGCCTTGGGACTCCCTGTCCGTGTAGTTGGCAGCGCATCTGCGTCTGCTTTCCCGATCTGTCCTGGGTTCTGTGGGTGGAAGTCAATGGACACGTCCTCGGCCTTCCCCAGACTCTGGCCGTAAGAGGCGGCTCTGGACCCTGCGAAGACTTCCATCCACAGGAAACGCTGCCCGAAATCATTTGTTAAGAATCATATTTCGGCGTTCTCAGACATTTCGAAGAAACTACAGACTCGTACCAAACAGGGGCGCTTGACACCCAGACAGTGCCGGAAATTTTGACCCACACTCAAAATCTGCCTGTGAATCTCAGACGTGCTGGACCCTGCAAGCCCCTTCCCCAGAGATCCCAAGGCCCTTACCCGAGCCTTTGCTTCTGCCTTGAGTGATGCTCCATGTGGCTTGGACAGTCCCCGTCGGCCGTGGGACCTGGTTTCTCCTTGGGGCGCCTTTTCTCCTTCCTGCAGGGCTGCCTCTAGGGGGGTTACCCCCAGGTTCTCTTGCCCACTGAGCCCCCCAGTGGGCTTTGTTCTGGTTTATGAAACAGAGGAAACATCACCCCTTAAACAGCAGGAAGCAGCCCACTTCTCACTGCCAGCCCCCGTCTGCCTGAGTGTTCCCAGCACCCATGGCCAAGGACACACCCAAGGACAGACAGCCCTGCAGGAGGGTGGCGTTTGAGCCAATACCCCGGTTTGGCCACACAACTCGGGAGTTGCCAGCTGCCTTAGGAGGGAGGGTCCCTGCGCTCTGCCCACCTGGGCCCCACCCTCACCCCTCCGAGCCAGAGCTTGGCCAGCGGCCCCCCCAAAGCCCCCGAGTCTGTGTCTCCTCATTGACCTGCCCGTGCGGAGAAGCAGGTGGGCAGGGGGCAACTAGACCCCTTTACCGCCTTCCCAGTCAGAGAAAGACAGCAAGTACCGGAGACTCCGGTTGCCAGAAGGTCCCTTCAGGTCTCCTGGGGTCCAGACACTCGCCCGGGCCAGGAACCTCTGGTTGCCCTCCACGCCCTCTCCTCCGAGGCAGCCTCAGAGCCACAGAGAAAGACGCTGTTCCCCAACTCGCCAGTGGGCAGGAGACGCTGCAAAGAGGAGGAGGTGGTAGTGTCTTGTGGCCGTTCCCAGCTCAGCCCTTGCCTGCCCGGCCACCGTCCGTTCAGACCGGGGTCCTGCCGCCCCACCTGAGAGTCTAAAATGCCATGATACCAGGCTCCCAGGGGCATTCACTGCTGGCTCTTGTGTTCTAGCCTGGGCGGGGAGTCAGCCTGGATCATCTCCCTGGGGTGGGTTCCTAGCACGGAGCCAACTGAAAGATTTGGGGCAGTCGAACCTACTTGGATGACTGTGTTCTTCCCATTGAGTTGAATGCCTGTTCCGCGTCACAGCTAAGAAATGGAATTTCCAGCCCCAGAAAATGTCTAGAAAAGGTGGTCGGTCCTGAGCCAATGAAAGGCCAGTGTCTGCTGCCACCCCTGGGCACCCAGTTCTTAGCTGGCTCTGGGGTGACACAGCACAGGCCGTGTGCTGCTCGGGGCTAGGCGTTTGGGACCCAGAAATGCCGTTTGGCCGAGATGGCTGGCTGAGTGCTGTGGTGGGTTCCGGTCTTGTTAGTTGGTGCTTTTAAGCCCTCGGTAACCAGGAGCCTGAGTTCGGCGCTCACAACCCAGGTGGTTTGGTGGAATGAAGGAAGCAACAAAGGACGAGCGGGTCCTTCTCTTGGACTGGTCTTTGCTGACTCAGAGGCTCTCCTGGAAGGGCCAACGGACCTCAGAGAATACCCGCCCACCCTAGTTCTGACATTAATGCCTTCCCACTCTGGCTCTGATAGGCAGATGGGGTATAAATGGACACGTGTGTGTGTGTGTGTGTGTGTGTGTGTGTGTGTGTGGTTTTCCTTTTAGCTGTGCTTGAATTGTTATAAAATAATAGGCATTTATTGAGTGCTATTGTGTAGCTGGTCTTTTTGAGCTAAGCACTTTATAGGCATTTCTTTTAAAAAAAAATTGACTTTGACTTTTTGGGTCGTACCTGGTGATGCTCAGGGGTTTTCCTGGCTCTGCACTCGGGAAATACTCCTGGCGGTGCTAGGGGAATATATGGGATGTTGGGATAGATGGAAGGTGGAGGGATAGAGGGTGGAGGGCTATGTGGAGAAGGAGGAACAGATGATGTGTGGAGGAGTAGAGAGACAGAGGGACAGAGGGATGATGGAGACGGGTGAGGGAGATGGTAGGAGGATGGAGGGGGAGGGGGAAACATGGGGAGTGGGTGGAGAGAGGGGGTGTTGGGTGTTGGGCAGGGCAGGGGCGCAGGGAGTGCATGCCAGCTGTGGCCAGCCTGTGTGAGGCCCTGACGCCCCCCAGGTCCTTCATGTCCCACCTGTTTCTCACCCAGCTCCGAGGCCGCGGGTGGGGCCGTCCGGGTGAAGCTGTCATGTTGCCAGTCTCGGGACGTTCTCATGTTCCAATCGATCTTGTCCAGAATTTTTTTCCTCTTGGAAGGGCCATGCTGACAAGCAGGGCAAGAGTCGGAGGCAGAAGCCCCTGGAAGGGCCGAGTTGCAGCACGCAGGAGTGGGGAACCTGGCTGAAGAAGGTTCTAGAAGGGCCACGAGGGCCTTGGGTCCGTTCTCCAGGCAGGCGGGAATGTGGTGCTGTCTCTGTTGGGTTGCATGTTCTCCCCTTTGCCAATACGGTGCCTGCTGTGTCTCCAGCCGCCTTGTTTGGAAGTTAAATGCCTGGTTAGCAGAACAGTGACCCCTTTGTTTCATACCTGCCCCGTGGCCCAGAGCATCACTTTTCTCCCCTTCACCTGAGTCCTTTATGGCGTGCGTATTAAGCAACGTACAGCTACGGTGTGCCTTCAGTCCTTCCCTTCTGCCTTGCGATTTCATCCTTCAGCACTTGATTCTCTTTGAGACCTGAAGTCCTCGCAGGAGAGGCTTTCGTGTTTTAGACTTCAGGCAGTGTGCCGTGCCGGGCTGTCAGTGGAGAGAGAGGTCTCGGCTGGAGGTTTTGCCTGAGGATCTCGCTGTGTGCTGCCTTCTCTCCTGCCCCGCACGGGTCCTGCAGAGACGCTGATGGGGGCCTGGTGGGCACTGCAGGAGCCTCTTGCTTTGCCGTGGGAACCTTAATCTCATCTCTGTCTGGTGGTCTCACCGCTGAGAGTGGGTCTCTGTGCACCCAAGTGGCCAGGTGTGCTGTGAGCTCCACTACTGGGGTGTTTGGTCTGTTTCTTTCTTCGAATAGGCTCCAGCCCCTGCTGGGGCGCCCGTTTGCTTTGTGGGGGCAGTCTCTTGGTCTCGTTTTTATTTACATTGGCTTCCCCGTCTTCCACCAGAACCGTTTGTGCACGTCCTGCCTTCCGGCTCACGGATTCCATCCTCTGTCTGCTTGACTGTGTTTCTCTCACACTGCCTCGTACCAGGAGGCGCCCTGCACCCTGCCCTGCTTGGTTTCGTCTTTATTTTGGGGAGATTCTCTTTCATCCGCAGGCCAAGGCCACACCCTGTCCTTTATTCTCTGGCCACAGCCCGAGGAGATCTGAATCTCTGCTTTCTTGCAGGGAGCCCGGAAGCCAAGCCCCCCACGGAAACCGCTACCTGCGGACCCTCTGAGCAAGCCAGGCCGGCTCAGCAGTGCTGCGGCCAGGCCCCGGGGCCCTGCGGATTTGGGGCTCCAGCAGCCTCCCGTCAGGTGAGCATCACGCAGGCATATTCCAGCCGAACCCCTGAAACTCTGCCAGGAGCTGCCCCCAGCCTTACGGTTCATGCCCCCATGAGGACCCCAGGGTGGCAGTTCAGGCCCTCCATCCTGCACGGTTGGGAACTAGGTGTGAGAGCAGATATCGGCCACCCGGGGGCAGTGTGGAGCGAGCCCTGCCCTGCACCTGCAGGAGCACAGCGAGGTCAGCCACCAGGGGGCAATGCTGAGCCAGCTCAGGGGCTCCATCCCTCAAGGGGAAGGGGTGGGCTGACGTGGGGCCTCACACCCACCCACAGACATGAAGGGTCCAACCCTCCCCGAGGCTCCCAGGCCTGAGGTGGGTGCTGCAGTGTCTGTACAAGGAGGCACCTCCAGCCTGGGCTCCTCCTCCTCCCCCCGCAGCCCCTCCCAGGGTCCCCCTGCCAGGGACATGTGGGGACTGTCCACCCGGCCTCACGGCTCAGCTCTGGTCCACTCCCAAGGAGAAGCCGTGCACGGTCGTTCCCGAGGCTCCTCCCCGGCAGAGCAGAGAATGTTTTGTTGGTTTTTTTTTTTAATTTTTGTTAGTGAAACACCATGAGGTACAGTTGTAGACTTAGAATTTTTTGTGCTTGGGTTTCAGTTTATACGGTGATCCAATACCCATCCCTCCACCAGTGCCCATTCTCCACCTCCAATGCTCCCAGTATCCCTCCCATCCCACCCCACCCCTGTGGCAGGGCATTCCCTTTTGTTTTCAACCCCCTTTGGGGTGCTGTGGTTTGCAAAGGAGGCACTGAGTGGCCATCATGTTCGGTCTAGGGTCGGCTTTCAGCACACATCTCCCATCCTGGGAGAGCAGAGAATATTTAATGCAGGGGACGGCGACGGTGTTAGGCGGGCTGGGGAACTGCTTTCTCATTCCCGGCTGCTTGGAGAACAACTTGCAAAGGAAACGTCCCTGGTGGTGGCCCCCGAGAGCCAGAGGGCGTGAGCTGGCCCTGCCCGCCCCCACAGGTGCTGCTGTTTCGGCTGGTCTGGTCTTTCCCGGGGATGGGGGAGAAGCTCTCCCACCTGACGCTCCCTAGATGCGGGTGGCAATGGTGAGACCAGCACGGGATCCGTGCGAGACGCACCCTGGGCGTAGGGCCCGAGAACCGTCAGCCAACTTTGGAGGCCATGGGGGGGGGGTCATATGCCCCCAGCAGTGCTGGGCTGGAACCTGCCCCCCAGCCCCTGTACAAAGCCCATGTTGCTGCCGTCGGTCAGATTTCTACCTTCCACGTGGGAGTCTCCTGGAGGGGCTGGCTTCTGTGGAGGGGGCTGGAGTGCCCACTGCTTCCTTTGCCCACTTTGTCCCGAGCGAGCAGGAAACTCGGGGAACCGCGTGACCCCTTCCCGCAGAGCCACTTGAACCTGGCAGTCGCGACAGGGAGTGGTTCCCGGGGCGTCTAACAGTTGTTCTTCCCTTTCTCCCGGTGCAGACCTGCCCCCAAACACCCTCCCCACATGCCACGACCCGCCCCGGCCTCCGGCAAGTGAGACGCCACCTGCCGGCCTGGACCGCCCCCAGACCAGTTTGCACTAGCCGCAGCTCCCCCAGAGTGGCCGTTCCTACCGACTCTGACTGTTCTACCGCCCACCCCCACCCCCTTCTCTCGGGAACTCTGAGCTGCCGCCCTGTCGGTGCTGTGCTATGGTGCTCGGTCGACCTGCTCAGGTACTTGTAAATTATTAATTTATGCGGGACGCTGGCTGCGGCTGGTGTGCGGTCAGAGGCGTTCCTGGGAGGCGCGAGGCTTCTCGTCCAGAGGGCACGAGACGAGCTGGGCCCTGCGCCGAGACTATCAGTGGAGGCTTGAGCCGGCCCGGGACCCCGGGAGCCGCCCCCGATCTCAGCCAGGGCCAGGCGGGAGCCGACCCCCTGCGCCGCCCCTCACTCCCAGCTACTCCTCAGAGACTCGGGCCAGAGCTCCGACCCCCGTACCCTGCAGTCAGGGAAAAGCGGAGCCTCCAGAAGCCGCCCACACCTTCAGGGGATATGCAGCCCCAGAGTACGGGTGCCGGGTGCCGGGGTTCGAACAGAGACGGGAGCCCTGGCCTGGCCGTTAACTGTTCACATGTGGGTCAGACACCAAATCCCGTGGCCCATTCTCTCGATAAAAATCTCCTCTCGTGGCCAGACCCAACTTTGGAAAACTTAGTCAGGACACCCCAGGCTGGCAAACCTGACCCCGAGGGCAGGCAGTGACCGCTGGAGTGGCCATCTGTGGGCCTCGGTGGACAGAGACCCAACTGCCCCTGTCAGTTCAGGTTGGTGTCCTGTCTCCATCCTTCCCACTGAGCACTTCACAGCAGGCCTGTGAAGCTTCTAGAATGTGGGGAGGAAGTTCGCCTGGCTGGTGCCCCATCCACGAAGTGCCATCCCGGGCAGGGGTACGGCCAGCCGCTCGGCCGGTGATGGCCACGAGCAAACACGGGGCCCAGGGAGTGAGCCCACGAGCATAGTTTCTGGGACCCAGCCCCTCAGGGCCACAACTTGGCCCCGTGTCCTTCACCCGGATGCAGCCTTCACCCGGCTCCCCTGGGCTCAGACAGACAGAGAGACAGACACCACACGGGCTCCCAGGCCCCCAGCCACGAGGCTGCGTGCCCCTCCCGGGATACCATCTCCCACCTGTGCCTTCCAGTGCTCGGAGCAGCACCTGGCCCCTGGCGCAGCCGAGGCCTGGGGTCTCACAGCGCCCCCTGCTGTAGGCCTCCTGAGGCGTCTGCTCAGAGCCCGGGGGACTGGTCCGGGACTGGTCAGCTGCCACCCTGGCCTTCTGTAGAGTCAGGAATTCTCAGGCCGGAGGCCACTGTCCACGCAACCCCGCGTCCCCCAGAGCGAACACACTCAGGCCCTTCTCAGGAGCCGGGGTCCCACGGTACTGCCCGGGAGGCCCCAGCACCCCCAAGTTTACGAAGCATGCTGAGCCAACGAGACCCGCCCCGCCCCGCCCGCTGGCCTTTTCCTGCGGGAAGCCCGGGGCCAGCAGGCGCGCCCAGAGACTGTCCCCCCGGCCTCCGGCACAGAGCCAGCACTGCTGCCCTTCACGCCACCCCGTGGCGTCCCGCGGCTGGGGACAGGCCGCTCGCTGGGGCTGAGCCTCCGTGGCCTCCCTGGACCCGGACCCAGGGGGCTCCCGCTCACCCAGCCTCGCCCCCACACCAGGACGGGCCCCCGACCCCACGTCTCCAGAGCCGTAGCACAGCTTCCCGCAGCCGCCGCCCCGAGACCTTTATCTATGCAGTCACCGCAGTGCCCAGCCTCCTGCCCGCTGCCCAGTGGGTCGGGGACACCCAGCCCCCTCTGTGCCTCAGGAGGTCCCAGGAAGGCGCCCCCTGACTTTCTTAAGGAAGTGACCTCACCAGCAGAACTGGGGGGAAGTACCACGACCACCAGTCACACTAAACACAGTGACCACCAGTCACAGTGACCACTCATACTATACACAGTGACCATCATAGTCACACTGTCCAGTCATACAGTGGCCATCAGTCACACTGTCCAGTCCCATGAAACACAGTGACCATCAGTCACACTGTCCAGTCCCATGAAACACAGTGACCATCAGTCACACTGTCCAGTCCCATGAAACACAGTGGCCACCAGCCCCACTGGCCCGACAGCCGTCAGCAGTCCGGGTCAGCTTGGAGTGAGCGGGCAGTGCCGGCCGCTCTCAGCTTGTCTTCCTCCTCCCCGCCCTCCGCCCTCGGTCCAGCGTCCCCTCCCCACCACACATGTCAGGAGCATCTCAGCCGTGAGGCCCGGAGGTTCGCGGGGCTCCCCCATGGCGGGTGCTGGCCGGCCCGAGCTGCCCTCCCGCGAGCAGGCCGGGGTCTCGGCCTCTTTCCCGTGGCCCGGGAGGCCACCGCGGTCACCTTTGTACGCGTTTCTCTGTTCGGCTTCTACAGGAAAACACGGCTGACTGTTTCTGTAGGGGAAAGTCATTGTTACGAATATTATATCCAATAAACGGCATACAGTCCCGAGCAGCGGTCTCAGTCACTGGCCCTCGCCAGGGGGGAGGAGGCGTCTCCTGTCTCTCCGGGCCCTCACCCAGGACAGATGGGTGCAGAAGAAACCCGGGGGTTGGGGTAGCGGAAAGTCGCCCTGTGCCTGGGCATGGGCAAAGGGCAGGGAGGGGGGTCACTCATCTGCAGAAGTGACAGTTGATCGGATAGTGGACAGGGCAGGAGTGGGGGGGGGGTGAAGGGGGACACTGGACTTTCTTTGGGGGGGAAATGTGAATGTGTGACCTATTTAAAATTTTATTTATTTGTTTTTTGGGGTCACACCCGGCAATGCTCAGGGGTTCCTCCTGGCTCTGCACTCAGGAATTAACTCCTGGCGGTGCTCGGGGGACTCTATGGGATGCTGGGAATCGAACCCGGGTCGGCCGCATGCAAGGCAAACGCCCTACCTGCTGTGCTATCGCTCCAGCCCCTATTTAAAATTTTAAAAGGTACCTTACTTACAAAAGAGAGGAGGCAAACAGGAATCAAAACCTTTATCCAACTTACCCAAAAGGAAAAAAAAACTAAACAATGCTGGGGGCTGGAGTGATAGCACAGCGGGGAGGGTGTTTGCCTTGCACGCGGCCAACCCGGGTTCGATTCCCAGCATCCCATATGGTCCCCTGAGCACCACCAGGAGTAATTCCTGAGCGCAGAGCCAGGAGTAACCCCTGTGCAAAGCCGGGTGTGACCCAAAAAGCAAAAAAAAAAAAAAAAAACCCTAAACAATGCTGAGCATTCTGGATTTATAACTTTTCAAAAGTACATATTATCCCTCCAACTGGAAAAAATACCCCCAAAAGATGGACTTACAGAAGTGTTGCAAGGAGTCTTTATTTTTAAGCCCCACCCCCCTCCAGCTACAGACAGGAAAAAAATGTGTTCATAGAGAAAATCAAACATCACAAATATTCTAGATCCAATTAGCACACATCAATGGACACTTCAAAAATGCAGACGATCATTCATGCTACGGGCTCCTGAAAATAAATTTCTGTACACAAAGTCACACAGTCAAACTCAAATTCCAAAAGGCAGAAATTCTTAAACAAAAAAAAAAAAACCGTAACACATTGAAACTAGAAAAAAAAAACAGCAGTGCCCTCCAAATGTAATTAATTAATTAAATGTGATTAATTAATCCTGGAGCCAAAGGCAGTTGCAGATGATCTAACAAATGAAATCACTTGTACCGGCAGCCCCTCAGACTCCTGGAACAAGACCCCCCCAAGCAGGTGCCTCTTACGAGCCCTCTCCCGAGTGTACAACAGCCTGACATGGGCCTGAGAAATTTGTATGTTAAAGAGCCACCATTTTACACCTCCAGAGACAGAGAGACAGCCACGGGCACGCGACAAAGTGCTCACGGCTTAGCAGAGAAATGCAGATCGAAACACACCTGGGGAGCAGAAATGCCGCGAGCCGACAGGGCCGTGGGGGCCGGGAACCCCGAGACCTTAAAATAGACTTTCCGACTGATCCGCAGTCTCACTGCTCGGCGTCCATGCAGAGAATATAAAACACTGAAGCACAGGGCAGAGGTGAGTGCGTGCCCACCACGGTGTGGTCGAAGACAGCCAGGAGCCCGGAACAGCCAGGGGACAGGTGAGGGGACAGAGATGCAGCATCTGAGTCCCTCCGGCATTAGGAAAACAGGACCCAGCCTTTCCGGACAAGGACGGAACCATATCCAGGCACGCGCTTGCCTGGACTCACTCGGCTGACCCGGTGACCCTTAGTCCCCCCCCCCGCCCCAAGCCCCACTCACCTGAGCACAGAGCCAGGAGTAAGCCCTGAGCTCCGCCGGGTGTGGCCCCAAACCCCTCCCCCTCAAAAGAGACCACCGGCTAAAACGCTGCCTCCTGCAAGAACAGAAACCCATAGCCCTAGGTGTACAAGTTAATAATAATAATAAAAAAGAATGTCAAAAGTAACAGATTTAATATTTAACCAAACAAAGTTACAGAAAAAAAAAAACATCAAAATAAACCTGGGGGAAATGAAAATAAATCGGATAAATTAAGGAAAGTCGAAGAAAATCATGAATTGCTTCCACAAACACAAGTTAATCCAGCATCGAAAGCCACGTGGGAGGAAGGGAAGGACCCACAGCCCCGAGGCCCCACACTACGCCACGGGTCTGCCAAGAGCCCTCCGTCCCGGGAGATCGACGCCCCCAAGCCTGCAGCTCCGCGGGCCGTGTGGAAATGCCCAGCGAGGTGCCCAGAGGTGCCCGGGACACACCTGGTCAAGCCCAGGGTCCAGTCCTGAGACGCAAATGTCAAATTCGGGAAGATGGGTCATGTGGCCGGGGGTGCCCCGGGCTGTCCGGCAGCACAGACGTCGCATGGCCAGGACTTGCGTCAGAGACGGTCCCCTCCTCCTCACGTCACGGGCGAGGCACGTCTTCTCTCGGGGCGCAGGGCGTGCACAGGGGTGGGGTGCAGAGGGCACAGGAAGGGGGGACCCTCGGAATGCGTGCCGGTATCCCGCACACACCCCGCAGACAGTGGAACTCGGCAGCGTGGGGTGACGGGTCGGGGCACCCTCCTCCCCACGGCAGAGGGTCGCGAGCACAGAGTGTGGGGCTCAGAGGTTCTAGGACTGGCTCCGCTTTAAAGGGGTCTGAGGTCCACGGCGGCGGCAGCAAAGGCCACGGTGAAGTGCCGTGGGGCGCGGCTGGCCACTCAGGCTGACCCTCTCCTGAGCATGGCAGTGTGGGGGCGTCGGGCCCTTCAATGCTGCCCCTTTTCCCCCTTCCCTGGGGGGGACAGCGGGAGGGTGAGGGTCTCCAACACGCTCCTTGCACCCCACCCCCGGGCTCCTGCACACACACGGCCTGTCCCTGAGCCTCTCGGGAGGCCCTAAGTGACCACACAGGGGAGGGCAGCGCCCGGCTCCTGGGCTCGGAAGACGGGAGGGCCAGGCCGAGGCGGGTCACGCGGGCGGGCGGCTTGTCCATCCAGGGCTCCGCCACCTGCCGTCTCAGTCCCCGACAGTGACGACAGGGGAGAGGTGAAAGATTAAAGGTTGTATTTCAGAGCAGGGGGGGGCCTGATCAATCCCAGCGGGCGGCCTAGGCCTCGGCGGAGCCCTGCTTCCCGGGGCGGCATAGGGGCGGCTTCTTGGGCATCTGCTTCCTCCTCTCCTCCAGCAGCGACACCACGTTCTAGGGCCACAGAGAAGGGGGCGGAGGGTGGACCGGGGGCCCAGGCGGGCCGGACGCGCTCCCCCCCACCCCCCACCCCCCGCCCCGCAGCAGCGGAAACCGGCCCACCTGTCTGTCGAACACCCGGGCCATGTCCAGGACACCTTTGCCGAACTGGAAGACAGGACGAGGGTCTGATGTGGGCTCGTGTCTGTGAGTGTGTGTGTGCTTGTGTGTGCATATGTGTGTGAGCATCTGCAGTGTGCATATGTGCGTGTGTGCAGATGTATGTGGGTGTGTGTTTGTGCATGTGTGTGTATCTGCAGTGTGCATGTGCGTGTGTGCAGATGTATGTGGGTGTGTGTTTGTGCATGTGTGTGTATCTGCAGTGTGCATGTGCGTGTGTGCAGATGTATGTGGGTGTGTGTTTGTGCATGTGTGTGTATCTGCAGTGTGCATGTGCGTGTGTGCAGATGTATGTGGGTGTGTGTTTGTGCATGTGTGTGTATCTGCAGTGTGCATGTGCGTGTGTGCAGATGTATGTGGGTGTGTGTTTGTGCATGTGTGTGTATCTGCAGGGTGCATGTGCGTGTGTGCAGATGTATGTGGGTGTGTGTGCGTGTGTGTGTGTATCCGCAGTGTGCATTTGTGTGTGCGTGCGTGTGTGTGTCTGTATCTGCCTGTGAGTCTCTGTATGTGCCTGTGTGTCCGTGTGTCTGTCCGCGTCCGTGTGTGTCCGTCCCCGTCCCTAGGGACGGGGCGGGGGGGGGGGATGCTCACCTCATTTTTGACGGTCGCGTCCGCCCCTTTGTCGAGCAGCAGCTGGACAAGCTCCTCGTGGTTGTTCAGGACGGCCACCTGGGTGGGCGGGGCCCTCAGCTCTGCGTCCCCCTGGGCAGTGAGGGGAGACGAGGGCCCGGGTGGAGGGGGCCGGGGCTGGGGCAGGATGGTCCTCCCTAGGAACACAGCTGCTGCCCTGGCCCTGAGGGACGCCAGCAGGCAGGACGAGACTCGACGGGTCAGGAGGGGGCGGGAGGGGACAGGCGCTGCCCTTTCTCCATGCTCAGAGGAGCCGGGTGGGGGCCGGCGGGCGGGAGGGGCGGGAGGGGCGGGGCGGGCTCCTGACCCCGCCCAGCCAGGGACCCCTGAGGGGTCCCGGGCGTCCCCTACCATCAGGGGCGTCTTGCCGTCTTTGTCCTTCATGTTCACGTCGGCTCCGGCCTCGATGAGCAGAGAGGCCACCTTCTGGTTCCCAGACACAGCAGAGACCCTCATGAGCGGCGTCCAGCCCGACCCTGTGTCCGTGCTGTCCACCTGCCCGCAGAGAACAGCACCTCTGGCGGGGATGGCGGGGACGGGAGGAGCGGGGGGCACCACCGGCCGGACGCCCTCCTGCCGCACCCCTTCCTCATTTCCCGTGTCAGACCCGGCGCCAGCCCGAGCGTCTCTCCAGAGTGGGAGCGGTCGGGGTGGCGGGTGTGAAGACGGAGCCCCAGGGACGCCCCGTCCCTCCTCATCCACCGTGGCTCAGACGAGAGAAGGGCCTGGAAGAGCCGACAGCTCCCAGCCGCCACCTGGGAGCTGCCCTGGGCTCGGAGATCTGCGAGCCACAAGGCCCGCGGCAGGGCAGGGGCCACAGGGGCTCACCCGGAGGGTCACCTGGGAGCCCTTCTCTGCCAGAGCCCGGTGCCACGAGCGCCTCCACACACTGAGGGGCCACTTCTAGAGACACGGAGATGCCGCTACCTCTGACAGAGCCCTGCCACAGACACGGGCAGGACACGGGAGGACACAAGCCACAGAGCGGCCCTACCACGGACACAGGCATGGGCGTGGACACGGGAAGGGGGACACAGCAGCCCCGCCTTGGACACGGGCACGATGGCCCCTCCCAAAACAGCCCTGGGCAGTCTGAAGGTCTGTCTGTAGCTTTGCTGAAACTCGCAGCCGGAGTCACCACGGGGCGACGTGGGGCCAGCGCAGGCCACGTGGCCACCCTGTGCTGCCTCACTGGGGCCTGGGGCTCTTCCCGGGGGGGGGGGGGTGGCCCCTGCTGTGACCAGGGCTTGTTTTAAGCCACAGTCACGGGGGACACGGGGGGTACAGGCCAGCTCCGGCGTGTTGAGCAAGACCGGGGCCTGGCCCCACCCTGGGGTCCCCACCCTTCTCTGCAGGCCCCGGGGGTCGTGGCACTGGGTGCTTTTACTCCCGGTGCACAGACTCAAGGCCACCCAGAGACATCGAGGCCTTCCCTGCGGTCAGCGCCCCGTCCGCACCCGCTGTGACCTCGGGAGAGGGTGTCCACCCGCCCCCCCCGTCCCCCACCCCCCCCTGCCCGTCCCACCGTCCCAGCCCGTACCTCGCAGCCGTCACTGAGCATCCACTCGATGACGTGGCAGTGGCCGCCGTCGGCCGCCCAGTGCAGCGCCGTGCAGCCCCCAAGGTCCCGGGCCTCCCACGAGGCCCCGTTTTTCCTCAGGCACTTCACCACGTCCAGGTGCCCCGAGTAGCAGGCAAGCATCAGGCTGTGCGTCCGGGAGGGGGAGACGGCCACGCTCAGGGTCGCAGCCGGCCCTCAGGCTCCCTCCCCCGGCACGAAGCCCTGGAAGCGCCCCCTTCCCCCGCTGGGGAAAGGCCCGGGCCCGTCCACCCACGGGCAGCCACGCTGACCCCGTGGCCCCTCGGAGTTGGAGCCTCTGGTCGCGGGAAAGGAGCATTGGCCAAAGCTCCTCAGATCCCGTGTTTTCAGCACCGTGACTGAAGGACACGCGAGATCCCGGCTGGGCCGGCACACAGAGGCATGCAAAGCTGTTCTCACGGCCCTGCTGTTGTGAAAGCTGCCGTTCCGAGCGCCGACGGCGGCCGCTGAAATCTTCCCGCAACTCAGAGCATGCCGGGGGCATGGCTTGGCCGTGCCGTGGACAGGCATCTGCTTCTACGCCCCAAACAGCCAACTCCATCCTGTCGCCCGCGGGATCCTTCCGGTAGGATTTTTCATTCCGAACTTCAGTCTTGAAAGGGTCAAAATCCCCAGTTGTCGAGGGAAAGTCTTTTTGTCCTCCTTGGTTGTTTTTTTTTTTTTTTGAGCAGAAAATTTCATCCCACACACACATACACACACATACACACACATACACACACACACACGTGCGCGCACACACACCAGAACTCGGCGTTCCCCTTGCTGCGTCCCCCATAAAGTCATCAGCTCACTGGCAGACGCTCAAGGTATTGGAGAGGAGGTTAATGGGGCGCAGGACCTTCCTGGGTGCTGATCTGTCACGGGGGCACCTTTCTGTGGCAGTGGGAGTCCGTGATTCCAGAGGAGAGATTTACGGGGCATGCCCGAAACAAACAAGCAGACCTGGGCTGCTGTGTCCAGCGTGGACAGAACCCACAGGGCATCACAAGGGCTGGCTGGAAGTGTGCCGAGCGCTGATGCCGCGTTTTCTCTTTACGGGAACTGCGAGGCAGACCAACAAGTTCAGGGCCACGTCCACAACACCGGGAGATATCGGCGACTCTAGAACTTGGGGCTGCCTACACAAATGGATCGGCCTACCCAGAGAGTTGCTGTTGGGAGACGAACATGGGGGACCCCAAAGTGGCATCCAGGACCAGCCTGGGTGGAGAGAGACCCGAGAGGGGCGGGAAGGACGGCGGGAAGGACGTAAGCGTGGCCAGTGGCCCTGCCCTTGGCCCCGGCCCCAAATATCCCCGAGAAAACTTCCGGGCACAGGACCCCGAGCCCAGAGCTCTGTCCCCACTGCGGGCACTCTGGCCCGGCCCCACATGGCCGCCACTCCCCCACAGCCCACGCAGCTCGCGGGAACACATGCCCAAGGGGCCTCTCTGGGGGTGCCCAGGGCCTGGCCACCGGAGGAACTCAGGGTCTGGGGCTTCCCGGAGGAGCGGGATGGGACTCGCCAGCCCAGCACCTGCCCAGGGAGGTGGCACCACCCCCGCCCGCCTCCTGGCTCCTGGACACCATGTGATTTGGTGACACTCGTGAGCTCAGACAGGCTGGCACCCGTGGGGATGTTCAGGGCCACAACCACCGGCACTGCTGGGTCAGGGCCCCAAGACACGTGCCCTGGACAGCAGCCTGGACCTGGACAACCGCCCCCCCCCCCACCAGCTCCTGCCCCACCCGGCAGCCCCCACAGGGTCTCGGGGACTGTGACGGAGCCGACGGGGCTGTCCTCTCTGAGGCACATTTAAGGCACTTCAACCGTTTCCAATCCCACCACAGCTGCCGCCCACTTCCTGCGCGAGACCTGTCGCTGGTTCTCCCCTGGGGAACCCTAACGCGGGGACAGGTGACATTCGGGTCACCTCTGACACCCTCACAGTTCCACCCTTCTCACTCCTACCGACTTCCTACACGCATCAACAGCCCTGGCTCCACATGCGTCCATGCCGCCAGCCCGGGCTTTGGACTTGACAACAGCAACAACAACAAAATGGAATCCGCAGAGATTCGCAACTGTTTCCCATGGCTAAATACTTTGTATATAATAATGCCTCGACATGAATTCTCTTCGTGCAAATGTCTCTTTTCCCACTGTGCCTGGGGTGTGGGGTGTTTTCTATTAATACCAGCTAGGTGCCCAGTATCAGAGATAACCCTAACCTTCTTTAAACCAAGTCTTGTGCTTGGCTTGGTCTGGTCTGGTTTTCTGGGTCATGTCCAGAGGTGCTCAGAGCCTATTCCTGGCCCTGTGCTCCGGGATCACTCCTGGCAGGGCCTCAAGGACCCTATTCAGTGCTCAGAGATGCAAGCGCCCTACCCACTGGACTATCTTCGTGGCCCTTATCATTTTCAAAACTGCAACACTGGGGGCTGGAGCGACAGCACAGCGGGTAGGGCCTTTGCCTTGCACGCAGCCGACCCAGGTTCGATTCCCAGCATCCCATAGGGTCCCCCAAGCACCGCCAGGAGTGATTTCTGAGTGCAGAGCCAGGAGGAACCTTTGTGCATTGCTGGTTGTAACCCAAAAAGCAAAACAAAAAAAAAAAAAAAACCTGCAACACCAGCTGGGACGTGGCCGAATGGGCTGGAGCTGCTCCCTGGCCCGTGGAAGACCCAGTTCGGTCCCCAACACCCCGTGGATCCCCGAGAGACAAACCCCACTAATGAGCTGGGCATAACCCCTACACATCACTGGATGTAACCCCCCCCCACAAAAAAAAATGAAAATGAAAAGGCAAAATGCTCAGGTTTTTTCCTAAGCTACATCTTGTAGTACTTCTCTCGTATCATAAGGCCAGATAGATATCTGCAGGCCGTTTTCTCGTTTCACACAGCTTTGGTTTTTAGACTTCACTCTTGGAGCATCTGGAATTTGTTGTGGTACTTGACTATGGAAGCCAGAATATAACGGAGACCCCCTCCCCACCCCCACCCCCGCCCTGAGCAGCCTGTTTTTCCAGCATCTTCCTCTCACTGTCTCTGATGTCTGGGCACCATGTGCTAAGTCCCTTCATGTCCTGGGGTCTCTTAGAGGAGCTCTGTTTCATTCTGGCTCTTGTTTTCTAAGTATGTCAGCCATAAATACTACTTCAAGCCGAAATGCCTTTCTACGGCACTTCAGTTACTGCCAACAGAGTTCCTTCGTGGTCTTCTTTAGGCAACTTTTATCAACCGTTATCCTCCATTTCTACTTCCAGATAAATTACGGAATTATTCTGACATGTTTCCAAGGGAGAAAAAAAAAAACGCCAGTTAAAGTTTTTGCTGGTCCTATGTAAGGAACTCAGGGAAAAAAACTGATAAATGCGGACATCAGGCTTGCCACCCAGCTATAAGATGAATGTCCCTGTATATTTTTAAATCTTTATCTCATCTCCCGGTCCATTTCTCCTGGCTTTCGACTATAAATTTCTTCCTCCTCTCAAACTTTTTCACGCGCTTTTGTTTCCGTCATATTTATGACTCGCTGCTGTCACTGGGAGAATCCTTTACCTTGCAGCTGTCTGCGTTATTGAAGCCCTACCTCTCAGTTCCCCCAGTTCCACGAGTAGGTTCCCTGGGGTCCTGCAAGAAGAGCACCACACCTGCTTCCGTTTCTTCTCGAGCTCATCCTTCTTCCGAAACACCGGCCTGGACACCATCCATAGTGCTTGTCGTCACCGCAGGCCTGGCCTGGGTCACTGCGTTTTTCCCGCATTAGCTCACGATGTTCAGGGGGTGTGCTGTGGGTCCTGTGCTCCTGGGGACACCAAGCCAACGCCCTCCTAGGGTCGCTGATATTTGGAGGTGGGGGGTGGAGTCACTCCGGGCGGTGCTCAGGGGGTGATTCCAAACGTTGCGGTGCTGGGGGATTGAGCCTGAGCTTCCTGCATCCAGAAGCTGCTGTCACAGCCCTTTGCACCGTGTCCCAGTACCGAGTAGCCTCAGTACCGAGTCCTACAGGCCTTTGTTGTCCCGTCAAGGGCACTTCTGCATGCCCGGAGTCCGGGCATCCTCAGGCCCTAGCGGCCCTGGGCACGGTTTGGTGGGTAGAACTTGGTGCACTGGCTCCTTCCAGCAAGGACCTGGGTAGTCTCTGAGTTTCTGATCGAGGGTGATGGGTGGCTTCAGTTTTCCCAGGGAAACTACCCATTTCCATCACTTACAAGAATCTTCGTGTCCGTGGGGACGCGTGTTCTCCTTCCAGGGTGGCTTCTTTTGTGCATTTTTTTTCCCTTTTTCCTTTCTTCTTGGTTTCTCACAAATGGGCCCAGCTGATGGCAGCGGTGTTTGAGTCACTTTTCTCCACCAATTCCTACTTTCATTTCCATTCTTTCCCTTTGTCATCCTCTTCGAGTTATTTTCTTCCTTTTTAAAATTACCGTCGTTTCTTTTTTAGTTTTCGCTCCAAATTACCCACGAGCTATTAGGAGACGTGCCTTTTGAACCTGCGTGTTCTCTGCTTCCCGCTGTGGCTGGCCACACGTGGCCAGCACCTGCTGGTGCCTCTCCTCAGACACGGGTCTGCGGGTGGACACTGCAGTGTCGGTGTGGGTCAGGGCGATGCTTTCTGTGTCCCACACACACAGGTGGGGGCCCCTCACCAACCGTTCCTCCATCTGAAGCAGGAAGCCTTGAGAGTTAGGATGTAATTTTGGTTGGGGGCCACACTTGGCAGTGTTCAGGGCTTACTTCTGACTCTACATTCAGGGGTCCCTCCTGGTGATGCTCAGAGAAAGAAGCACTTGGGGTGCCGGGGGTTGACTCCGGGAGGGCAGCACGCAGAGCCAGTGCCCAGCCACTCTCATACCGCACTGGCCCCGTGGTTCTGTCTTCGGTGGCTCCTGGTCGCTTCCGAGCACGACCTCTGCTGCTGGTGTCACAGAGGCTGCAGGGCAGGGGCTCCCCGAGGGGCGGGGGTGGGGGACTCAGGTACTCGGGGGTCTCATCACCCGCTGCGTTTAGGTGGCCCTGGCACACAGACAACCCAGGAACATCCTGGGGAAGGAGGGACTAAGGAGTCAACCGGATAAGCCACAAGCTTCACTCTCTGGGGTAAGACCTACCCAGTCTCGGGGCTGTCGAGAACAGCCACCCCAAACGGGGGGGGGGGTCAGGTAGCCTCCAGGCATCAGCCCTGCGGCCCCTGGGGTGGGGGGCATCTCCCGCCTACCTGTCCTTACCACTCCCATTCTTTATGTTCACGTCTGTTCCATTCGAAAGCAGGATCTTCACAAGGCTGAAAGAAGCCACCAGAATGTCACACTGGGCCGGAAGCCCGTGAAATAGGACACGACTTGAGGCCTGTCTCCAAAACACTTTCCTCCAACTGGCTTTAAGTCAGGCGTTACCAAGTCCCAGAGTTTCACACATGCACACACATGACACACACACATGCACACATGACACACACGTACACACGCACACGTACGAATACACATGCACACAAACGCACATGAACACATGCACACACAGACAAGCACACACGCACACATGCATACATGTACACACACATGCGCGTGGACACACATGCACACACATTCACATGCACGCACATTCACATGCGCACACATTCACACACATAAACATACAAGCACCACGCTATGATTTTTCACCCTTTCCAAGAATTCTTCATTAAAAAAGCACGACCACAAAACACCGGTCAGACTATCAGAAGTAATTTGCTGTCCTTCTGATGACCACTAGGAGCACTTTTACAGGGTACCCAGAGAAAAGTCATCTCTACTTTTTTGAAAATGGCATCGTGACAAAATGTCAACATCAAAAACTGGCTTGCCTGATGGCGTGTCTCTGTATGGAGCCAGAACCATGGCGCGAATGCACGAGGCCCTGACCCGGCCAGGGTTCAGGTTCCTACCCCCCACTTTATTTTTAAAAGACGCTCCAGACATACACACGCACACATACACACACACACAGACACGCACACACGCACAAGCACACGCGCGTTTCCCAGGACCTCTGAAACATCCGCCCGTCTACACAAGCGGCTTCCTCTCTTCCTTGGGCACCGCCCAAGCCCACGTCCCCTGCCCTCTTTGGGTCCTGTGAGGGTGAGGCGCCCCGAGTCGTACCTGGTGTAACCTTTCTGCGCGGCGACCATGAGGGCAGTGAAGCCAAACTTATTGGGCACATCGACCTGGATGTTGCTGCCGGGAGACATGGGGTCACTGCCCGCCTGTGCCCGGGGCCGCCCACCCCCACTCCCGCCAGGCCGTTCACTTCCCATGGGCCGAGACGGTCCGAGTGGCCGCTGCACGGGGCCCCGACCCACAGGGCCTGCAATGGCCAGTGTCACGGGGCCAGTGCTGGCCCCGGTTGGGGAGTGGCCCGGAGCTGGTGATGCCTCCGTCTCATCTGCAGTGAGGTGTGGGCGTGGAGGGCTGGGGGCAGTGACAGCCCCCCCACATGCATCAAACGATGCTGGGCTAGGACAGTGACCGAAAGCGGCGGGTCCTCTTGGGTGCACGCCCGCGGCTGGAGGTTCCACTTTGGAGTCAGCTTCACAGGTGGGAGAATTTTCAGACAATCGGGCAAACCATAGCTTGCAATTTTTAAAATAGGGGCCACATCTGATGGTACCAGCTGGGGGACGCGGGGCTGGGCCCCAACAGCGGCTGACCCCTCGGGGTCACTTCCCCAGCACCTCGGCCTGCGTTTCTAGGCCCCTGAGGGGTGACAGAAACCACAGGACAACTGCGGGCCGAGCTCACCCTCCTTGAAGCATCCGAACCAGCAAGTCCTCATCATTCACACTGACGGCACGGTGGAAGTGTTCGCTGCTTATGGGCTCTCCTGGGGAAGAGACCTTGTCAGCAGGGGGAGGGGCGTCCAGCCTCTCGGCCCACCCCCGACCAGGGCTGATGCCTGTGCCCAAAGCCAGGAAGGCACTGACTGTCTGATGGTTCCTGGCTAGTCTGACAGTTCCTGGCTAATCTGATGATTCCTGCCTAGTCTGACGGTTCCTGGCTAATCTGATGGTTCCTGGCTAGTCTGACGGTTCCTGGCTAATCTGACGGTTCCTGGCTAATCTGACGGTTCCTGGCTAGTCTGACGGTTCCTGGCTAGTCTGACGGTTCCTGGCTAGTCTGACGGTTCCTGGCTAGTCTGACGGTTCCTGGCTAGTCTGACGGTTCCTGACTAGTCTGACGGTTCCTGGCTAGTCTGACGGTTCCTGGGTAATCTGACGATTCCTGCCTAGTCTGACGGTTCCTGACTAGTCTGACGGTTCCTGGCTAATCTGACGGTTCCTGGCTAGTCTGACGGTTCCTGGCTAGTCTGACGGTTCCTGGCTAGTCTGGCGGTTCCTGCCTAGTCTGACGGTTCCTGGCTAATCTGACGGTTCCTGGCTAATCTGACGGTTCCTGCCTAGTCTGACGGTTCCTGGCTAATCTGACGGTTCCTGACTAGTCTGACGGTTCCTGGCTAGTCTGACGGTTCCTGGCTAGTCTGACGGTTCCTGCCTAGTCTGACGGTTCCTGGCTAGTCTGACGGTTCCTGGCTAGTCTGACGGTTCCTGCCTAGTCTGACGGTTCCTGGCTAGTCTGACGGTTCCTGGCTAGTCTGACGGTTCCTGGCTAGTCTGACGGTTCCTGGCTAATCTGACGATTCCTGCCTAGTCTGACGGTTCCTGGCTAGTCTGACGGTTCCTGGCTAGTCTGACGGTTCCTGACTAGTCTGACGGTTCCTGGCTAGTCTGACGGTTCCTGGCTAATCTGACGGTTACTGGCTAATCTGACGGTTCCTGCCTAGTCTGACGGTTCCTGGCTAGTCTGACGGTTCCTGGCTAATCTGACGGTTCCTGGCTAGTCTGACGGTTCCTGGCTAGTCTGACGGTTCCTGGCTAATCTGACGGTTCCTGGCTAATCTGACGATTCCTGCCTAGTCTGACGGTTCCTGGCTAATCTGACGGTTCCTGGCTAATCTGACGATTCCTGCCTAGTCTGACGGTTCCTGGCTAGTCTGACGGTTCCTGGCTAGTCTGACGGTTCCTGGCTAGTCTGACGGTTCCTGGCTAGTCTGACGGTTCCTGGCTAGTCTGACGGTTCCTGGCTAATCTGACGGTTCCTGGCTAGTCTGACGGTTCCTGGCTAGTCTGACGGTTCCTGACTAGTCTGACGGTTCCTGCCTAGTCTGACGGTTCCTGGCTAATCTGACGGTTCCTGGCTAGTCTGACGGTTCCTGGCTAATCTGACGGTTCCTGGCTAATCTGACGGTTCCTGGCTAATCTGACGGTTCCTGCCTAGTCTGACGGTTCCTGGCTAGTCTGACGGTTCCTGGCTAGTCTGACGGTTCCTGGCTAATCTGACGGTTCCTGGCTAGTCTGACGGTTCCTGGCTAGTCTGACGGTTCCTGCCTAGTCTGACGGTTCCTGGCTAGTCTGACGGTTCCTGACTAGTCTGACGGTTCCTGGCTAATCTGACGGTTCCTGGCTAATCTGACGGTTCCTGGCTAGTCTGACGGTTCCTGACTAGTCTGACGGTTCCTGGCTAGTCTGACGGTTCCTGGCTAGTCTGACGGTTCCTGCCTAGTCTGACGGTTCCTGGCTAATCTGACGGTTCCTGACAAGTCTGACGGTTCCTGGCTAATCTGACGGTTCCTGGCTAGTCTGATGGTTCCTGACTAGTCTGACGGTTCCTGGCTAGTCTGATGGTTCCTGACTTGTCTGATGGTTCCTGGCTAGTCTGATGGTTCCTGGCTAGTCTGATGGTTCCTGGCTAGTCTGATGGTTCCTGCCTAGTCTGATGGTTCCTGGCTAATCTGATGGTTCCTGACAAGTCTGATGGTTCCTGGCTAATCTGATGGTTCCTGACAAGTCTGATGGTTCCTGACTAGTCTGATGGTTCCTGGCTAGTCTGATGGTTCCTGGCTAGTCTGATGGTTCCTGCCTAGTCTGATGGTTCCTGGCTAATCTGATGGTTCCTGGCTAGTCTGATGGTTCCTGGCTAGTCTGATGGTTCCTGGCTAGTCTGATGGTTCCTGGCTAGTCTGATGGTTCCTGGCTAGTCTGACGGTTCCTGGCTAGTCTGACGGTTCCTGGCTAGTCTGACGGTTCCTGGCTAGTCTGACGGTTCCTGGCTAATCTGACGGTTCCTGGCTAGTCTGACGGTTCCTGGCTAGTCTGACGGTTCCTGGCTAGTCTGACGGTTCCTGCCTAGTCTGACGGTTCCTGGCTAGTCTGACGGTTCCTGGCTCGTCTGACGGTTCCTGCCTAGTCTGACGGTTCCTGGCTAGTCTGACGGTTCCTGACTAGTCTGACGGTTCCTGGCTAATCTGACGGTTCCTGGCTAGTCAGACGGTTCCTGCCTAGTCTGACGGTTCCTGGCTAGTCTGACGGTTCCTGACTAGTCAGACGGTTCCTGGCTAGTCTGACGGTTCCTGGCTAGTCTGACGGTTCCTGGCTAGTCTGACGGTTCCTGGCTAATCTGATGATTCCTGGCTAGTCTGACGGTTCCTGGCTAGTCTGACGGTTCCTGGCTAGTCTGATGGTTCCTGCCTAGTCTGATGGTTCCTGGCTAATCTGATGGTTCCTGGCTAGTCTGATGGTTCCTGGATAGTCTGACAGTTCCTGGCTAATCTGATGGTTCCTGGCTAATCTGATGGTTCCTGGCTAATCTGATGATTCCTGGCTAGTCTGATGGTTCCTGGCTCTTCTGATGGTTCCTGGCTAGTCTGATGGTTTCTAACTAGTTTGATGGTTCCTGACTAGTCCGATGGTTCCTGGCTAGTCGGATGGCCCCTCGCTAGTCTGGCAAGCACCTCTTCCATTTCTTGCCTGGAGCGTTTTCCCCCTTCCAAGGATGCTACACTGGGCAAAGCCCCCTAACGCTGTGGCATGATTCTGACATCTGGAAGGTCATCCTTGTGGGTTATCAGACTAAATGAACATGTCTCACACGCCCAGGAAAGCTCTGGAATCATCTCGACATGCTGGTCCCATGCACCAACGAGCTGCCAAACTGCTTTGCCCTCAAACCCAGCGTGAGCAGCTCAAGTGCCAAGTCCAGAGCTCCCCACGGTGCCGCCACCTTGCACCCTCGGGGCCAGCGGTAGCAGCAGGGGCCCGGGGAAGGCACAGTGATGGAGGGGGACCGGGAGGCGAGTCTGGGGACAGGAGGAAGCCCTGGTTCCAGCACACGGAGGCTCCCATGCCAACACCGGCAGCATCGGCCCAGCATGGCCCAGCAAGCTCCCCGCAGGCGGCCGACAGCATGCAATGCGGCCACTGCTTCAGAGCAAACAGCAAACACGCTCCCTGCTCCAGGCGAGGGTCACCCACACCCAGAAAGCAGCCGCTAGGAACCACACAACACAGGCACGGAACAGGAAGGGCAACAGGGGCTGGCCAGGCGGGGGCACCAGCTCTGTGAGGATAAGAAGCGGAGGGAGCAGCATCACCAGCCCAGCCAATCAGGAGCCGCCCTCACAGCCCGGGAGGAGACAGGAGCGTGGAGGGAGGGAGCACGCAAGGAGCACGAGAGGAGCATGCAGGGAGGACGCAGGGAGGATGAAGGGAGCACGTAGGGAGGATGCAGGGAGGATGAAGGGAGCACGCAGGGAGCAAGCAGGGAGGATGCAGGGAACACGCAGGGAGCACGCGGGGAGCAAGCAGGGAGGACGCAGGGAGAATGAAGGGAGCACGCAGGGAGCAAGCAGGGAGGATGCAGGGAACACACAGGGAACACGCAGGGAGGATGCAGGGAACACACAGGGAGCACGCAGGGAGGATGCAGGGAACACGCAGGGAGCACGCAGGGAGCACGCGGGGAGCACTCGGGGAGCACGCGGGGAGCAAGCAGGGAGGACGCAGGGAGGATGAAGGGAGCACGCAGGGAGCAAGCAGGGAGGATGCAGGGAACACACAGGGAGCACGCAGGGAGCACGCAGGGAGCACGTGGGGAGCACGCGGGGAGCATGCAGGGAGGACACAGGGAGGATGCAGGGAGCATGCAGCGAGCATGCGGGGAGGACACAGGGAGCACATGGGGAGGACACAGGGAACACATAGGGAGCACGTGGAAGCATACAGGGAAGACGCGGGAAGCACACAAGGAACACACAGGGAGGACACAGGAAGCAGGCAGGGAGCACGGAGGGGGGAGGCAGAGAGCACTTGGAGGACGAGGGAGCACGCAGGATGCAGAACACATGTGCCCAAGCAGGGCCCGAGAGGGGCAGAGCAGCTTCCCTGTACTCTCTCCCGGTGCAGTCCCGGGCACTCACGCTGCCCGCTGACCCTCCGCTCCTGTGCTGACCGCTTCTGGCGCTCAGGCACCAAGTGAGGTCCAAGCCTTGGGTCCAGCTGGGGGTTCGAGCCTGCCCCTTCCCTCTGCCTCTTACACTGTAGACCCACTTCCAGGCTCCCTTATTCTGGGTGCTCCAGAAACTGCCCAGCCCACCTCTGCTCCTGCAGCATGGCCCAGGCCACCCCGGGGCTCACCCCAGGGCGTCACTCCAGTGGACAATCGGCGTGCAGGCTCCTTGCCGAGGGGACCAGGGTCCTCCAGAAGAGATGAGGAAGGGAGGGAAGAAGGAAGAAGGGAAGATGGGAAGGGGGAGGAGGGAGCGTGGTACAAAGGGAGGGAGGAGGGAGGCAGAAGAGAGAGAGGCACAAGGCACCAGCTCACTCACTGCAGGAAACCGCCACCACCCAGAGGGCCGCTAAGGGGTCACTGGGTGAGATGCCACAGAAACGGAGCACAGGGCACAGGAGCACGGGGCAGCGGGGACGGAGCTGGCCTTGCGCAGTGGACCCAGTTTGGTGCCCGGCACCCCGGATGATTCTCCGAGCCCCACCAGGAGGGATCCCTGAGCTCAGAGCTGGGAGTCGGCCCTGAGCACCACTGGGTGTGACCTAAAAGCAGAAACAAAAGAACAAAACTCTTCAATTAACTTTCACGATCACGATCATGATCACGACCATCCTGTTGTTCGTCGATTGCCTCGAGCAGGCCCCAGTAACGTCTCCTTCATCCTAGCCCTGAGATTTTTTAAAATGTGCCATATTCAAGTCTCTTCCAGGCTTAGGAGAATGAGACCCATCCTTGTTACTGGTATTTGGCATATTGGGTACGCCACAGGGAGTTTGCCAGACTCTGCCGTGTGGGCAGGTTCCATTCGGTAGCCTGCCAGGTTGTCCAAAGCAAGAATGAGATAGTAAGATGTTGCGCGGCTGCGAATTAACTTTGAAAAAATAAAAACACTTTCTTTATAGTTTCTGCAAATTAGGTTTAAGAAAATCAAGTTTCAGAACCGGATCCTCTTATGCTTGCCCACGGCTGTGGCAATGTCGTGTTTCTCTAAATCCGATCTAAAAGACACATTTATGAGCTGAGCACAGGCAGTGAGAACAGTGGCGGCAGGACCCGAGACAGCGTGAGCGTGCGTCTGAGAGAGGTTTGCTTCTCTGGGTGTGTAAATATTTCTACTTAAGAAATTAATTATGAGAGACGATAAAAACAGTCAACTCTAAAACAAAAAGAAAATCCTTCCCTTCTGGCGAGAAACTCAGTTCTGCCACGGGAGGCCCTGGCGTCGGTTTAGGGGGTGCCCACGGGGCAGAGAACCCGCCTGGACACGGGGCAAGGGTCAGGTCACAAGCAGTGACCCTGGGCTGATTCCTGTTTGCTTCCCTGGTCATAAAGTCAAGCCAGAGCCAGAGACATAGTACAGAGGGGAAGGTGCTTGCCCTGCACGCGGCCGACCCAGGCTTGATCCCCGGAACCCCATTTGGTCCCCCGAGCACCACCAAAGTGATCCCTGAATGCAGAGCCCCGAGGAGCCTCTGAGCACAGCCGGGTGTAGCCAAAACAAATAAATATCAAAAAATAAATTCAACCCTGGCGCCAGAGCGACAGTACCGCGGGTAGGCATTTGCCTGGCACACGGCCGGCCAGAGTTCGACTCCCGGCATCCCATATGGTCCCCCGAGCACTGCCAGGAGAGATTCCCGGGTGCAGAGCCAGGAGTAACCCTGAGCATCACCGGGTATGGCTCAAAAATTAAAAATAAACAAATTAATAAAATGAAACCCAAACTAAACCCAACCCAAGTTAAAACTTTTTAAAAACACCGTTTTGTCAGCCTCCGCAGAGCCACACGATTCTCCTCTTCCGGTCCCCACACCGCCCTCAGCCCCAGGCTGCAAGTACAGTCTCGAGCACATGGGGCTGGGACACTGGGGGCGAGTGCGAGACCCCCTGCACCACACCCGGTTCCCCCGACACCGCCAGGTGGGACCCCTGAGCACAGAGGCTGGAGTAAGCACTGCCAGGTGTGGCCCAAACTACCTCAAAACTGAGCCAGGAAAGACAAGACAGATGCCCCTAGTGGGTGCCTGGGAGCACTGAAGAGTGAGCCCTGACCAGCTAGGTGTGGCTCAGACACACCCCAAGAGGTCCTTGCAGGGTGCGCCCCGGCAGCCCCGAGACTGCAGGGATTAAGGGCAGCAGCCTGACACCAGCAGGTGAAAGGCAGTCTGAGTGCTTGTGGGTCCATGATGCGCCCACGGGGGCGACAGGCCTGGGGTCTGAGTCGCCGCCGGGGTCCAGAGAGCCCCCATCCTTTACCTGGGGGCAGGAGGTGGGCCGCAGCCCTGACTCCAAGTGCGTGCTTTGAGAGTCATTAAAACGCTTCCCAGCCAAATGCAAATCCCCAGTCCACAGCTGGCCCTTTCTCTCGCCTGTTTGGTACAATGTGCACATTTTCCAGTCTTTGTTCAGCAAGATCTGCCTCCTTCAGAGAATCTGCGGGGACAGGAGGCCCCAAGCAGGCCTGGAGGGCGGGCAGGGGGGACAGGCCCCCTACTGCCGCCCAAAGAGCCCAGTAAGCTGGGCAGGAAGGAGGAGGCGGGGCGGGCAGGGTCCTCGCCAGACCCCCCCGCCTATGCCCAGGAAGTCTTGCCCCCTTCACGGCCCATGGACCGTGGGGCAGTGGCCCCTCCTGGTCAGTTGAGCCCCTGGAACGCAGCAACCCAAGGGGTCCCCAGGGAAGCCCCTCACCTGCCCCTCCCTTCGGCGGCCACCCCCGCCCCTCACTGAGGAGTCCCAGAATCCAAACCGCCTGCGATCCACACTAGGGTTTCCGCAGGGAGACACTCGGAGGACACCAGTGAAGGTCACAGAACAGAAGGCAGTGAGTCAACTCTGAGAGCGCAGTTCTGCACAGACCCAAGACTCCTCCGTCCCCTCGGTGCCCGGCGGGCCACGGGTCCGAGCATTTGCGCTTTCAGAGAATTCAAGTCCTCGGAGGGCCCTGGACACACACACACACACACACACACACACACACACACACACACACACGGCTCTAAAGTCCCTGTGACCGGGAGCCTGAGCTGGTACCAGGGTGAGGCTCGGCCATGCATGCAGCTGACCCGGCACCCCCAGAGTGACCCTGAGCACAGAGGCAGGCAGGGCCCCCGGGGGGGCTGCCAGGTGTGACCTCGCCCCCCACCCTAAAACAAGATCCCCAGCAGGAAGCTACACACCTTAACCCCAGGGTGCAGGGGGTTGGGGGCCAGAGGCAGGGCAGCCCCTCGGGAGCTGGGGGCTACATGGGGGGAGGTGGGGACACCTGTCCTCAACCTGGGGTGGGGGCACAGATCAGCAGCTGCTGCACCCGCGGCCCCCCAAGAGTCAGACCTGAGTCCCCGTGCTTGTACTCAAGGGGGCTGAGGGGAGGGGGGGGCCTCACTCACCCACACCCCCAGCTCTGCTTTCTTAGAGAGGCGACACCCCCCCCCAACACACACACAAAACACACACCACCCCAGCCAGACACTTCTTCCCTGTCCTGGGCCGGAAGTGGGGTCCTGGGGGCTCCGGAACCGAGCCGGGGGTCCACATACTCACTGGTGGTGGACACGGAGACCACGGGGCTGTACTCGCACTCTCCTGAGGGGCTGGTCACTCTCAGCCGGAACCTGTACACCGTGCGGGGCTCCAGGCCCTCCACCACGTGCTTGGTCGAGTAGCCCCTGGACGAGAGGGGACACGGGCAGGTGGGCACCCCGCCCCACGCCCGCCCCGCCCTGCCCAGCGCCGGCTGTCCGGAGCCTTCCAGCCCCTGGACACTGCAGGTGACCCTCGCCGGGTCTTCTCAAGCAACCCCCATCTCATCCACACCAAGCCGTGCCCCCCCCCTCTCCGGGGCCCTTCCCACGACTCCCCCGGCCACCGTCTCCATCACACCTGGGTTTCAGTCTCTGTCTCCGAGACCATGTGCCCAGCACGAGGCACAGGGGAGTGGGCAGGGGCGCCCGCGTGGGTGGGGACGGGGAGGGGCGGGGGACAGAAAGGGGATTGCCTCCAGCCGAGGGGGTGAGGCTTGCCCTGCGCTGAGGGACCTGCAGAAGGCAGGGAGCACGGTGGGGGGCACCGGGGGCCACTGGGGTCTCCAAGCGCCAGGCTGAATGACGGTCCCCTCCCCCAGTACCCAGCCAGGAGTAACCCTGGGCACCGCCAGGTGTGGCCCCAAAGTCCAAGGAGGAAAAAGGAAAAAGGAAGTGAAGCCGCCAGCAGGGGGGTGGGGGGGAGGAAGGGCGGAGGAGAAGGAGGGAGCCCCCACCCCGGACCCCCGCTCGCAGCCCCTCTGCTGCAGGGCAACCAGGAAGGTACTCGGGGTCTTCCCCCAGCACCCACAAACAAGCACCACCAGCCTTGGGGGGTAGCCCGAGGCAGAGCTGGGGGTCCTGGGCGGGTTCTCGGGCCTCCCCCAGGCCAGGAGCCCCTTCCCCAGATGCGGCCGCTGAGATGCAGAAGAGCCTGGAGGCCGCCGGGCGGGCGAAGGCGCGGTCTCGCGGCCCCACCTAGTGGCGAGTCAGAGCACTGCGGGCTGAGCGCGCCCTCCTCTGCAGCCGGGAGCCGGACCCTGGTGGACAGGGGCTCGCCTGCCCCGCGGACACTGTGGGCCCCGCCAGGTCAAGAGCAGAGGAGGAGCCCGGCAGTGAGCCAGTGCTGGGCCTAGGCGGGCACGAGACGTGCCGTGGACACCCAGCGTCCCCCAACTCGGGTCCTAGGCCAAGCAGACCACAGCAGCGATGGGGCGGGGAGACCAGGCTGGCCTATAGACTGACCGCGTCCTAGCCCGGCCCCAGAGGGGATGGGGGGACATCCAGGGGAATTCCGGGGTCATTGCTTCCAACTAGATCAGCACCTCCGGCTTTCAAACGGCTCCTTGGCCCTCCCGCCGGCTGCCCCGGAACCGGGCACCACAGCCCTGGCAAGGGGGTGGACATGGTGGGGGGAAGCGTCTCCACCAAGCCCCTCACCCTTCACTGACCAGACTATCCCCAGAGAGCCACCCCCGCGTGCCTGCAGTGTCAGAGCTAGGATGGGGGGGGGGCGCATTGGGATGGAGCAAGCGGAAGCTCAGGGCACAGTGCTCGGGGCCAGGCCCCGGGAGGGGAGAGATAGCCCTGACCAGGGAAAGGTCCCAGTCAAGGGGGCACAGAGACAAAGGCCCCGGGGAGGGGACAGGAAGCCGGACGAGGAGGAGCAGGTGAGCTGGAGGGAGGTATCGAAGGAGCGGCCGGTCAGGGCACTGCCCAGAGCACAGATCCCTGGACCTGCCTGACCATATCAGGGGGGTCCTGGAGTCTGTGACCACCTGGACTCTACCCCTGCACATGCTGGGCTGGGACCCCCCTCCCCCGTCTCGAATATTCCGGGCGTCCAGCAGGGACGGAGGTCCCATCACGAAGGTGTCGCTAAGGTTTCTTCCCCAAGGCATCAAAACCACCGGGCACACGGATGCCTCGCGCCCGCCTCCAAGGAAGCCGCTTGTCCCAGCTAACGAAGGTTCAGAGCAGACGGGCCGAGACGCTGCACCTACGTATAAATGATACCGTAAGTGTGCGTTTTGGGGTCTTCTTCTTCGATGGAGAACCGGAGCCACTGGTCCTGGGGTCCCTGTCGCCTGGCTTTCTTGTCCAGGTCCCAGTACAGTTCGATACTGTGATGTGTGACTTTGCCCACGACAGGGGGATGAGGCTTTGAGGGTGGTGAGATTTCTGGGGAGATAAAGGAAGAGCGGGGAACAGGCTGTGAGGACTCGGGCGCCCTGGTCAGACGGCCCAGCGGCCAGGAAGGCATGTGTGGCCCCCCCTCCCCCTTTGCACCCCTGGACATGAGCCCTGCTGAGGAACCTCGGGCAAGCTGAGGGAGGGAGACAGCTCGGCAGCTGGGCAGGCCACCAACCTCTCCACCCACACAGAGAAGCGTCACCACTGCCAAAGGTCCTTGGGGCCACCAAACCAACCAGCCTGAGCCGCGGATAGATCCCATTTGCGATGGTCCAGTCGGTCGGCCAGTGACCCGCTGGGGACGGGAAAAGGCCGACGGGAGACACGGCTGGTCGGAGGGTCACGGGCGCCAGACAGGAGGCAACGTCTCTTCTGCATGAGAGCTCAGAGACTAGCCCAGGGGGACCCACAAGCTCTGACCTGCCCAGGATAAAGCCAAGCAGTGGACCAGGGGCGGGATGGACAGGACTCATGCCCAGGCCAGACGCTGCCTGGTGAGGAGTGAGGATCCAGTGGGGAGAGAGACGCACCCCCCCCCCCATCACCGGCCATCCTTCCGTGCCATCCCTGGGCGCTCTCCACGGAACCCAGAGCTCACGCGTGCGCACGCAGTTCCCAGTATACAGCAGGCGAGGTCGGCGCGGGGCCATCAGAGACGCTAGATCTGTCCCTATGCAGAATATCGTGTCCTTAAATAAAAGCAGGAGGCCTGGAGAGATTCAGGGAAGCCCGGGAGATGAGGGGCTTGCCTGTCTTGTGGCCGATCTGGGTTCAATCCCTGACACCCCATATGGTCCTGTGAGCCCCACCAGGAGTAAGCCCTGAACACCGTCAGGTGTGGCCCAAAACCAACCAACCAACCAAAAAAAAAATGAGCCAGAGGATGGCAGAGAGCTTTGAAACTGTCTCCCCATTTCAATGGACCCCCAGGGGACCCTCACAGTGGCAGGGACAGGGACAGCTGATCTCCAGCTGGTGTCCAGCCAACCCAGTCACGTGGCAGGTGGGTTTCCGTCCTCACAACATTTCATGCATTACACGTGCCTGTTCTTGGGGGGGAGCACAGGGTGGTCAGCACCACTGTTCAGGGGACACATGGGGGCAGGTGTATCTGCCTCGGGACAGCAGACGGCTCCCAGGCTGCGGGGCTCGAGGCCCTTCCACCCGGCCATGCCCTTGAGCATGCCACAGCCCTGGTCAGTAACTTTCCCAAGTTACTGGTCCCAACTTTGCCAGGCCACGCGTGAGTAATGGGCTGCCAGGACCTTTACTGCAGAACCTCCAGGGCCCGATTTCTTTACCTGGCGGGCATCAGATTATGCTTCCTTGCTGTGCCAGAGACAGACTGAAACGTTCCCACATTCCCACTCACTCACAGGGGCCCAGCACTCTTGCTCCGGGCAGAAGCCCTGCCACCAGGCACATCTTTTTTTTTTTTTTAAAGTAAGTAAAGGCCCTTTTTTTTTTAAAGTAAGTAAAGGCCCTCCCGTTGTTCATCGATTTGCTCGAGCGGGCCCAGTAACGTCTCCATTGGAGATTTTGTTGTTACTGTGTTTTGCATATCGAATACATCACAGGTGGCTTGCCAGGCTCTGCCGTGCGGGCGAGATGCTCTCGGTAGCTTGCCGGGCTCTCCGAGAGGGGCGGAGGAATCGAACTCGGGTCAGCCATGTTGGCTGTGTGCAAGGCAAATGCCCTACCGCTGTACTATCGCTCCCGCCCTTTTTTTAAAAATTTTTATTTATTTATTTATTTATTTATTTTGCTTTTTTTGGGTCACACCCGGCAATGCACAGGGGTTACTCCTGGCTCATGCACTCAGGAATCACTCCTGGCGGTGCTCCGGAGACCCTATGGGATGCTGGGAATCGAACCCAGGTTGGCCACGTGCAAGGCAAACGCCCTACCCGCTGTGCTATCTCTCCAGCCCCAAGGCACATCTTTTAGAAGGACTTTTGCTTCTTTGCATCGGCATCATAGTCCAGACTTCACCGTTTAGTTGTGATCACGCCACAACTCAGTTTAAATATTTAACTTTTCTTGAAATAACTAGCGGGAAGGAGAGGGGGAATTTTTATTTTTTTTTTTTAAATCGTGCCTGGTTCCTCTTTCCATCCTGGAAATTTTTTCTCAAAACTTTGTCCCCCCACTTGGGACTGGAGAGATAGCACAGCGGGGAGGGCGTTTGCCTTGCACGCGGCCGACCCGGGTTCGATTCCCAGCATCCCATAGGGTCCCCTGAGCACCGCCAGGAGTAACTCCTGAGTGCAGAGCCAGGAGTAACCCCTGTGCATCGCCGGGTGTGACCCAAAAAAAGCAAAAAAAAAAAAAAAAACTTTGTCACGCACCAAGAAAGGGGGGTGGAGGGGAACCGGGGTGGCCAGGTCCCAGGTGGGCGCTCGCCGGCAGTCACGCGAGGATTGATGACGGCGCCGAGCGCGTGTGCAGAGCTTTTCCTCGGAAAGTTCTTATGCAAATCTGACACATCCAACACGTTTATGCCGCTGCTGTGGTCTGCCACTGAGTCATAAATCACGTGAGTGTGAAACTTAGAAGCTCCCACCCACATCCCCCTCTTGGCTCCGTGGTCATGAAGACGGGGTGAAATATGACACGCGAGAACAACAGAAATCTGCTTTTTAAAAAGCCATCATTTACCGATGATGGGTTTAAGCACAAGACACTGGGAAGAGTAAAGTAGACCGCTGAATATTAATTGGGCCCCTGCTAGCTAGACTTCAAAAGATAATAAGAATAAAAGGGTGTAAGAACAGAAATGCGCCAGCCCCCTCCACAGACTCCAAGAGGAGCTGGGAAAAACTCAGATTACTCCGGGTCCCCGTGATTGGCAGTGTCCCCTTATTTCAACAAGCGACAGAGCACTTGTGACCAGCGTGGGCCCCTGGAGGCAGCCGCTGGCCTGGTCTGAGAAGTTCTCGCATGAGAAGCCAAGACGATGAAGCGAGAGAGCACGGGGCAGAAGCACGTGGCCGGGCCAGGCCTGGTCACTGGCACTGGGTATGGTCCTCCCGAGCACAACCAGGAGTCAGCCCTGAGCACAGAGCTAGGAGTCAGCCCTGAGCACCACCACGTGTGACTTAAAACACAAAATTAACAAATGTCGATGATTTTTTTTTAAACAGAGATGCATACCCTTATGATGGACACACAACCCCAAGGAGCCCGGTTGGAACATTCCTGTCCTGCCAAACTCACTCCATTTCCTGAGGTCCAAAAGCAAACGTCACCTGCATGCAGTTCCTGGCTCTGGGGGCAGCTGGGGCCCGGGGAAATGGCACCGTGGTGGGGACACTGGTGCCAACATGACTGTTCCCTCCACATTCCCTGCAGCTGGTCTGGACCCGACACCCGGGAACTCTGGAAACCAGCAGGCAGAGGTGGGGACCGTCATCTGTCTCGGAGTTTACAGTAGAAAGTCCCTCTGGGCACGAGGATCAGCAGCCGGGCTCACACCGGCCCCGTGGTGCGGATTCCTCCTGGCCCTCACAGACAAAGCCCGGCGCGCGGGAACCACCAAACCCCAGGCCATTCTCCGCCTTTCATAAAACGAACCCCACAGACCCCCAACGGTAATTTTTTCCATGAGAGCCAGCGGTTAATCATGATAACACGATTGAGAAAAATGTTTCTACTCGCCTCCAAGAAGGAAACAAGGTGAGATTTAAATACCTGTGAGGAGACCGCCCTGGGCCTCCTGGGGAGAGTTCGCGTCCAGCGCCCAGTAAGAAGGGCAACTCCACTGTCCATTCTGGGAGTTCGGCTAAGCTGAGCCCCAGGCCACGCGCCTGCCTTCCTCCCCAAGCCCCCGAGGGCCAGGCAGGGCCACGGCTGCTCAAGACAGATCGGAACAGCCAAGGGGGCCACACTCACAGTGTGAGGGGCTCAGACTTGCTCCTCCTCGATGCAGGGAGCAGATGGTGCTGGAAAACGAACCTGGTCCGGAACGTTTATCAGAACGTGTGTCAGGAGTTTGTGAATAGGGTCCACAGCTGCTCACTCAGCTCACCTGGGGGTCCCCACACTGCATCTCGACCCAGTGTGAGCAAGAAGAGGGGTGCAGAGTGCTGAGACCACTTTTCAAAGGGTCCCCTTCCAGTCTCAGGGGCCAGGGGGGTCCCTTGAGAGAATGAGCAGAGCTGACTCCAGCCGAGCTGGTGGGCAGAGGGTCCCCCTGTGCCGAGAACACTTCTGCGCTGCCTCCTGCTACGAGCCCGTCAGACACCAGCACGGACGTGGGACTTTCTTTCTCACAACCGTGAGCCTTGCAGAAAAAGCGGAGGCAGGGGGAGACTTTTGCCTCGTGTCTGGGGTTGCAACCAGGGAGGACGCCAAGACCCTTAGATCAGGGAGAAGGGGTCCCCCTCTTGCTGAAGCCGGCATCGACCTCTGAGGCAGTTAAGCCTCATAAGACTCCTGAGCCTTGGGGTGAATCAGATCACTTTAATAGCAAGAGACGACAGAATATCATTAGTTCCAGGACCTCGAGAGAGAGAAAACTTCATTCCTCACCCTCGGAAGGTAAATGGGAGTCTCCAAAGGTTGGAAGTTATGAATGAAAACATGGTGTAATTTTCTGTTCAACACCAAGGCATAATATTCGCCACCTTCTCAGCACTCCCAAACAGTTTCCTTTTCTCATTTCTAACCATGTTCCTTCCTCAACAGCTACAACGGTTTGCAATAAAGAGAGGGAACAAGAAGGGCTGGCGGGGTTGACCGTATCAAAACCAAGTTCTCGCCATCAATCTCCGCACACTCATTCGTTCCAAATGGGTGACCAGAGTATACAAGGGGAAATAAATCGTCCTTCCGTCGCCGGTTTGGATAGAACCAGAACCATAAATCGGGCATTAATTACAAACACGAGTCGTCGTTCTTGATGTTTGTCAGAAAAAACGCCCCGAACAGGACCCCCCTGGCTTCTGCGCTGGGCCCGGCCTGCCGTCTGCCCGTCGGTGGGCTCCATC